GCCAGGTGTAGTTCCGCTGGACTAGTTCTAATGTCCGGTTTTGACCAAAGTGACCTGCCAAGATGTGGTCATGATTATTCTGTAGTATACAGAGATGGAGATCGTTGAAGTCTGGGACGTGGATGCGGCCTTCGAAGCGAAGGATGTTGGATTCGTCAATGGACCATTGAGAGGGAGAGGATTCGGAAGCGGCCTTGGCCTGGCAGAGGCCATCGGAGGACATAGCATCAGAGAATTGTGCTTGTCTGATATCGGTGTGGAGTTTGTCGATATCCATGATGGCACTAGCCCATAGGGTGGAGCCTTCGAGATAGGTTGCTCGGAGTGATGCAGAGAGTTGTTCTTGGGTGAACACAGGTTGGAAATTGTGCAGGTTGATTTGAGTATATTGGCTATCCCTCTCTTTAGGGTAGACATCCCATTGTCTAGTGAGCGCATCCGGTTTCCCACCAAGTTTTCCAGGGTGGAACCGGATTACTAGGTTGAACTGGGATAGGTATTCAGACCAGCGGACCTGTCAGCAGGTTAGAATCTTAGTGGTGGCGAAGTATTCAAGGTTCTTGTGGTCTGTTACAACATCGATGGAGTCCACGAAGCCTTCGAGATAGTGCCGCCAATGTTTAAAGGCTTCAAAAATGGCTAGAAGCTCTTTGTCATGGATGTCATAGTTGAGTTCAGCATTGTGGAGGCTCCGGGAGCGGAAAGCAATGGGGTGAATTTCACCATCTTCAAGATAGATGAAGAGGATAGCTGCAATTGCATAGTCGGAGGCATCGGTTTCCACCACTATCTTTTGATCGGAGGAGACCCAGTGGGTAAGGATGAGGGCATGTGTAAAGGCCTGTTTCAACTCATTGAAGGCAGCCAAGCATTTGTCATCAAATTTCCATGGGGTTCCCTTGCAGGTGAGTCGTGTAAGGGGGAGGATGATATCGCTATATTCGTGTATGAAGTGACAGTAGAAGTTGGCAAAGCTGAGAAAAGATTGGATGTCCTTGACTTTTCGCAGCACTGGCCAGTCGACAATGGCCTTGACTTTTTCTTCAGACATGCGAAGTCCTTTAGGTGATAGGATGTAGCCTAGATATTCCACAGAATCCCAGTTGAATTCGCATTTGGAACCTTTGCAATAGAGTCCATTAGCTCTAAGCCTGCATAGGACCTCACGAACATGTTTCTGGTGGTCTTCCAGGTTGTCAGAATATATGAGGATGTCATCGAGGTAGACTACTACTGATATGTCGAGCATGTCAGAGAATATATCATTCACAAATTGTTGGAATGCCACTGGAGCATTTGTGAGGCCAAAAGGCATGATGTGCCATTCGAAGGAACCGTAATGGGTCCAGAAGGCTGTTTTCCATTTATCCCCCTTAGCTATGCAAACAAGATGGTAGGCATGCCGAAGGTCGAGCTTGGTGTAGATGCATGTGGAGCAGGCGGAGTTGAGGAGATCAGAAATGAGGGGAAGAGGGTAGCGATCCTTCTTGGAGATTTTGTTTAGGCCACAGTAGTCAACACAAAGTCAGAGTTCACTGGTCTTTTTCTTGACAAATAAAACTAGAGCCCTGTGTAGAGAGCAGGACAGAGTAATGAACCCATTGCACAGATTATCATCAATAAACTCTCGTAGGGCCTTGAGTTCAGATTCTGAGAGAGAATAAATGAGTCCAAGCGGTGGAGAGGTTCCTTCCTTAAGGTTGATTTTGAGGTCGTATGGCCTGTGTTTGGGTAGTTTTTCAGAGAGAGTATCGCTGAAGATGTCTGCAAAATTGTGGTACTCTACTGGCACTGGTGAAAGATCTGCTGGTTCTGCAGATGCAGCTTTGGCTCCAATATTAGGTAAGGAAGGCTGCAGTGTGAACTGCTGAGCGTCTTCTTCTGCACTGGCTCGGACAAATGCAGCAGCAGATATGATGGAGATCTTTGGATGTGCTTTCGTAGTAAAAGACTCTGAGGGAGGATAGGAGTAGATGGGTTTGTATGGGAACAGAGTCTGCTGGTTACCCAGAGTTGATTTGGAATAGGGTGAAGCCCCAGGAGTTGGACTGGTGGAGTCTGGTGGACATGGAAGTCTTGGATTTGAGCTGGAAGGCTCAGAGAGGGGTGGACTGTTGTCCTGTGGGCATGGAAGTCCCTGGGATGCAGTGGAGGCCGCGGAATTGGTTGGAGTGGGATCCTGGTAGCTTGAGTGGAAAATGATACTGTTCTCAGCCCAGTCAATCAGTAGATTATAGCAGGAGAGCCAGTTGTATCCTAGGACAAGATTGCAAGACGAATCCAGAAAAGTGATATAGAAGTTGATGGGGAAGGTGTCTCCAGATGGGAAACAGATGAGGATGGTTTTAATGGGGATTTCATTGGCAGCTACATACTTAATGTCAACAAAGCAGTGGCTAGAGCCAGAATCAATAAGGGCAAGAAAATGTAGGATGATACAAGTTGGGGAACCATCAGGTTCTGTAGTAGTCGGCAATTCTGCTGAGAGGGGGATGTGGAAGGAGTGATTGGAAAGGGATGTTACATTGAGAGTGATGACCTCCAGTGTGTGAATATAGTCGACACAACCCTGAACTTGCATAGAGGGAACAGGGTTGCTTCCTAGTTTTCCGACTCTGTCGAGGCCGGTTCCATGGGAGCAGTGTCGACCTCTGCTGCACACCCCTTGGCAGAGGCTGCTGCCTTCCGCTTGTTGCAGTCCTCGGTCTTGTGTTTGGCTCCACAGAACATGCAAAGGTTGTTCTGGCACCAGCAGTCTTTTTCTTCCTGGGTAAGGCAGCCATCTTTGCCTAGCTTGTCGGCATAAGGCTTAGGGGTGGTAGATTTTGGTGTGGAGCTGGAGTCTGAGGAAGAAGTGTTAGACCCCTTGGATTTGAGGTTGGGGAATTTATTGTCCCGGTTTTCATGGGCAATTTCGATCTTCCGGGTCCAGTAGCGAGCATCAAGTTCTTGGGCAAAGAAGCGCATATCATGAAGGTTGTTTAGCTTCCCATGGTGTGCCATGTCATCCTTGATATGAGTGCAGAGGCCACAGTAAAAAGCATGGTGGAGGGAGTTATCTCCATACCCAATTTGTGAAGTGTACTGGTTGAATTGGACCATATACTTCATGATCCGATCACCATCGCACATCCAAAGGTGTTCTAATGCATCTTCAGCATCCCTGATAGCATCAAAGGGGCCGAAGTTGCTATGAAGCTTATCTAAGAAGGCTGCATAGGAGAATTGCCAGGCTGGTGGATTCTGCAGATTGGAGTTAAGAATGTCTGGTTTGAACCAGTTGAGCACGGTGCCAGCCAGGAATGAAATGGCATAGTTAACTTTGTTAGCATCCGTTGCAAACACGGTAGGTCTGTCATTGAAGTTCAACTGAAGGGAGACAATGAAGGCCTTCAGTTTGCAAGGGTCAGAGCCATCAAATGGTTCTGGTTCCTTGACCTTGGTATGGACAGTAGCTGGTTTAGGGTTGTTGAAGGAGGCGGAGACTCCTCGTAACAGGTTCATGAATTCTAGGAACATGTCCTGCTGGTTTGGATTGTTACTTCCTGTGGGGCCGTTAGCGCTGCCTGGGCCATTGGGACCACCTGGTCCTCCTGGTCCCCCTGGACCTCCTGGACCACCTGGGAAAGGGTTTGGTGGATTGCCAGCCAGTTCCTGTCAGATGGGAGTATGAGTAGGGGTGTCTTCATCTCTGCCCTCTGAGTCTGGGCTGTCTGGATTCCCATGGTTGTTGCCCAGAGATAAGGGGTCTATTGGGGGGTCGGTTCGGGTGCCATACATCAGGCTGGCCCGCCAGGCCCCATTGGTTGGAATGCTGGTGGCATCGAAAGGGTTAGGGGAATCATCATAATTAGGTTGATGGGCAGTGAAGCTAGAGTGATTGTAGGTTTCCCTATGGGAAGGTTGTCCCCCACTGGAGGCTGATCCAAACAGGCCTGGTTGTTCCTTTGAGGCAGATGCCAGAATGTCTTCCATGGAAAACATGTTTGGATGGGTGGGCTGCCTTTGTTCAGGATCGGTCTCTGTGGGTTCGGTAAATGTGGTGGACATGATAAAATTTTCGACTCAAGGGTTTGAGTTCGAATATACTGTTAGGAACATGCCAATCGAGTGGGCTTGAGTGCACATGCAGAGTCTGGCGGAGTGCATGGGCATTGACGAAGCTATTGGCAATGTCACCCTTGAGTCAGAGCCCAAGAATCTGGATGGACAGAACGGAGTTCTGTCAGAGAAGTGAACAGGAGTATCCTTTGGAGCGGAATCCGATGGATGAGATAGAGAGGGGTGAGTACGAAGTGTAGATGGCTTATCCAAGTTGATATTCGAACTGAGTAGCTATGATGATGTACATGGCTTTATATACTAATGGTAGCTAATTCCAAGTCAGGTTCCATTGGGTTCCAGTGTCAGTATTCATTACCGAGTTCAGGGTCTAGATATTACAATGTGAAATACAGATGTGAAATGATACTGGTGAAATGAAATTAGTAGGTAATGGGAAGCGGTCAGAGTCCAGTGGGTGGTGTGATTGGATTCACGGTTGGTTGAGGTGACATGGAGGCCGGCGGCATGCATATAACAGTATAGGACTCAGTTATGCCATTTATATATGATGGTCCTCAAAATCTATTTCAACAACTATTCACTGTGTGCACAGAGTCTGTTCAACATGTAGGGAGCAACAGGAAGAATGGTTATGCAGGCAAAATTCAGAATGATAGCAGATCACTATGAAGTTGATGGCAGATAACTTTGGCAGGAATAATGTCATTCTCATATCACTTTTAGTCATTAATACATGGTTAACTGTGATATATTCAATTTATATACCTAAGAATTTTGAGGGGTCATGAAGAAACGGTCTCAACAGAATTTATTGAATGTGTGGAACCTGCCTACCCAGTATGGGCATGGCGGATAAGTACCGTGGGAACCAGCAGAACCGGCGTTAAATCGTGTTCTGGCCCTTTTAGTAAACCCACCGGGCATTCGGCATATGCCGAGCCTTTTCACTTGGGGACAACTATCATGACGGAAACAGAATCTACAGCGACATTCGAATCGCTTGGACTCAGTAAACCCCTCCTCGATGCTGTCGAAAAACTCGGATACAAGGAACCTACCCAAATACAGCAGCAGTGCATACCTCCTGCCCTTGAGGGGAGAGACATCATCGGTCTTGCTCCCACTGGTTCTGGTAAAACAGCTGCGTTTGCCATTCCAATCCTACAGAAACTCTGGGATGCACCCCAAGGTCTTTTTGCATGCATACTATCCCCCACACATGAATTAGCGCATCAAATTGCAACTCAATTTGAAGCTCTTGGGGCCGGTATGGGTGTCCGGTGCGCTGTTATCGTCGGTGGAGATATGGACCGAGTTGCACAGGCTGTGGCGCTTGCCAAACGACCTCATATTCTTGTTGCCACTCCTGGCCGGATTGCAGACCATCTCAGAAACACAAAAGGGTTTAGTTTGCGTGCTATCAAGTTCTTGGTCAGTTTTCGTCTGGAGCAACATTCACCTAATAACCATCGTTCTTCAGGTCCTTGATGAAGCTGATCGGTTATTAGATCTAGACTTTGGTACACATTTGGATGATGTACTCAAAGCTATGCCAAAGCAACGAACAACATACCTCTTTTCCGCGACAATGACAACCAAAGTCTCGAAGTTACAGCGCGCCAGTCTAACAAACCCAGAGCGTATAGAGACTGCGTCATCGTGCGTACTTTTAGTCTTAATGGTGTGCACCACCTAACGGTTGCTTCTAGACATCACACGGTCCCCACCCTTCTACAATACTACGTACTTTATCCCCTCATTCATAAGGAGGCACTACTTGTTTATCTAGTAAATTCGTTGTTGAGCAACTCAATGATTGTCTTCGTGCGCACCGTCCACGACGCAAAGCGGTATGTTTTCGGAGTCTTAAGTCTAATATGAAGTATTCACTTGCTGTAGTCTCAGCATCATTCTACGCACGCTTAACTTCGATGCGGTCCCTCTTCACGGTGATCTTACCCGAAGTCAACGTATGGGGGCTTTAGCGAAATTTCGCAGCGGTGATAAAAAGATTTTGGTAGCGACAGATGTCGCAAGTCGGTTCGTCCATTTATTTGCTTAGGCACAACTCAAAACTTACTCGGCTTACAAGTGGTCTGGATATTCCACTCGTGGATCTCGTCATCAACTTCGACGTGCCTGGACATTCTAAGGATTACATTCATCGTGTCGGGCGAACAGCACGTGCAGGTCGTGCCGGAAAAGCTATCCTGATCGTCACTCAGTACGACGTCGAACTACTGCAGCGGCTGGAATGTGTGTTGGAGAAAAAACTTGAAGAATGGCCTACAGACAAGGAGGATGTAATCGCTATGCACTCTACCGTCGATGAAGCAGGACGAGTCGCGGCAAACGAATTGAGAGAAACTGGGAAGCAGCAGAAGAGTCACAAACGTAAGCGACAGGCTGGGGAGACTGATGATCAGGGCATTGAAGAGGTTTCACTCCTTCGTGGTTCGACTCGGGCGCGACGTGACAAGAGTCATCATTGACATACTTTTATGTTACAGTGAGATCCCTTGTTTCACTCTTCCATGCTATGAACACCTTGTTGGCTTATTCTAAACTAGCACACTGTATTAACGACATGCAACGTTCATCCTTGCACTACAATCATCCCAGGGAACATCTGAACCTGTGCCTGTGCTTGCACCTGTGCAGCTTCCAGTAACTTCTTCTTGCGCCCGTTCCCTGTACCCACACCTGTAGCTCCCTTCTTCTTTAGCGCAGCAGCCTCTCCTCCTGGTGTACTCCCTGCGGCTCCCACCACAGTTGTAGCTGTATTACCTGATAGAGCCGCAGAACCAGCAGGCTTTTTCTTCTTCGCGGCTGTCCCCCCTCCAGTTTTGATGATCTGCCCTAGAGGCCCTATCTTCATCTGGGCCGCTGTTGGTGCTTCGTCTGGTATCGGGGTATCTGGCGGTGGAATATTGGGGGGCGGCGGCGACGGCACAGGTATGGGTATTCGAGCACCTGAGGAGTCTGTAAGAAGGGGGTACGAGTTGAGAGTTGGAGGTGGTGGAGGTGGTGGGGCTGACATAGCTGTGATACGACTTTGATAGAAGGGCTTTGAGCAATCCGATCTGGTTGTTGACTTTTGCCCACGGTGAGAGGAACGAAAGATGGTGGTGGTTGATAGGGCGGGGCTGTTCTGACTGTTTGACACTGACGAAGAAAGTCAGTACATAAATGTCGAGGCAAAAAAGGACGTACGCAGTAGACAACGGCCCTCTTGACCGTTTCTTGCCTTTGAGAAGCCGCTTTGGAATAGTGAAGCTTGACATGCCTAACTCCTCCGCAATACTGAGCTCGCGTAGTCTCAGATAATCCATTCCCAAAGATTCCACAAAGTCGCCTCTGGAAAGAAGGTTTCATAAGATATGGACGAAGGGCAGAAGAAAATCACATATAGAGCCAAGACAGCAGCCTCGTCTTCATCTTCTCCTTCAAATAGGCCCTCGTCTTCCACAGCTTCGACAGCGGTCAAAAAGAAACATTTAGTATATTCAGAAAAAAGCTGTGAAAATTGTGCTGACCGCTTCTCGATACGCCCCAACAAGCTTCTTCTCTAAACCATTCAGTCGCGATCCATAACGCCCAACGTCGTCAGAAATGTACCGCTCAACGTCTTGGACTCGCGTCACACCACTCTCAAATAAGGTATGCAATATGATTTCCTTGAGAATCATTCAGCGACATGTACATGCCTCGACACAACTTGCGTGCTCACCTCTGCAGTCATTGTATTTGAATACTTGTCAGACAAAAATCTGATGGTACGTCCAACGTTCAAAAGATAACTCCAGCAAGCACATCCAAAGCAGACTGTGAAGTGCCTGCGATAAGTGACGCTCGAACTACATACCACATCAACCGAGACACGGACGTACCTTGAAACCCCTTCTTGCTCATCCACTGCAAACAATCTGTGCTGTTCTTTTCGCCGATGTCCTCTATTCTCACTTCCTTCTTCCCCAAACTCTACGGCCGTCCGTCAACATCCACTACGGCTGCCTCTTCGTCAGGCACGAGCATGCCTCCAAGCGGGTCTCCCAGTGATGACTCACTATCCTCGGTGCCGGTTCCTCCCAGTGCCGAGAACTTGACATGGCATGCCTCACTCTTCTCATCGTCCGTATGTTGTTGTTCATGAGTGTCAATAAAGACTTGGGATTCGGCCTTGGAGGGTCCGGCCGTTTCCGTCGTTTCTTGCGCTTCGGAAGTGGAGATTTGGGTGGCCGAGGCTGTGGGACCCTAAGCAGACCATTAGGAAGTAGTAGGTCAGATTGCGCTGCCATCCACCACATCTGCGTGATATCATCGCTTGAAGAGGGAAGAAAGATCGGGTATTGAGGTGCCACTCGTGCACGTTTGCGCGGGCGAGCAATCTGCTCATTCAGCTTGCGTTTCTCGTCTGTTCCCGCCTCTGGTTTCACTTCAATCGGATCTTCATCATCGCTCTGATAGTCCGGTGCGAACACCCGAAGTTCGTCGCGTGGAGGAGAGTCGCAGTTTAATTTCGCGAACAGCGACATACCATGCTGCGTCCGAATCAGTGCTGGCGAGTCGGCAAAAGGTAAATCTCGGCGCTGTAAAGGCACAGCAGTAGGCTTGACAATAGCCTTAGCGAGGGGGCCTGAGCTCGAAGGCTGGTGATGTACCATGTGGGGTCTTGAATGTCCGTTCACCATGCCGTTCACTTTGGGACCCTGTAGTGCAGCAGGAATTACAGGGTCAGCTCGTTCCTTGCGATCTGTGATATTTCGCAGCAACTTCTCTGCCTTACCTTTAAGCCGATTGACGCAGTGCCGTAGGGGATGATTCTAAGGCGCTGTCAGCACGAAAAGACGAGAAGATTACAGCAGAAGCACATCTCCATTGTAAGTATAACAATTGAACCATATCAAGTCCAAATCATCCTGAAATTCGCGTTTGGACTTGTAGCTCTTCGCCTTGACCATTCTGGCCATTGTCTGGAAGTCCTGGATAAGATTTTGAATGACTGAGGCAGATCAGCAAGCAATAAACGAATTGCAGGGGCCATACTTGTGTGATAGTCCGGAGCTTCCGTCTTGGAATGATTGTCCTGGTGAACCGGCGGCTTAGCCGAGCGCGTTACACCATTGAAACGTGACGTACGAGGGAATCACAGAATGGATCTGATAGTTTGTCTCCGGCGTGCTGGAAGAGGATTACTTCACTGGGATTGAAGCAACATAACGCGACGTATCCTGCCTTTATTGCCTCCTACCGGTGCAAAGTTCTAGACTATGTCTTCTTAATGAGATAAGGATAAGTATGACACTCAGTCGGGCAGTGGTTGTGAAACAACTGAGGTATATGGATGTCTACAGTTGGATTATATAGTCAATCGAGAAAAGACAGGTGGCATATGTATATGTATATAGTAAGTAGGAATATAGTAACTTAAGTAGGGACAAGTGACAATTGAAAAGGGTGACAAAGTTGAAAGAAGAACATATGGGTATATGGACAGATATCCTCCAACACTTCTTCCCCTTCCTAGGCTTGTTTCCTATCTCATACAGCACCTGTTTTGAACTTCCTTTCAAATATATCATTGTTAGCTAATTTGAATTTAAAGTTTGTCTAAGGAATGGCTGATCCAAGCAGGAAGGACCATTCTTTCAATCAGTGGGAGCTTAAGTCTTCTGTATCTCTTACTAGGTCACAAAGCTGTATTATGCAAGTAGCAATAGGGATACCAGTGCTGGAGGTGATGAAGGCAGAGTCAGGCAGGGTAAAGGGCTTTGCTTGTCAGGTAATGACTAATCCAATATTCCAATTACTTAGCTAATGCTGGGGTCTGATACCAAATGATGATGAGATAGATGATGATGATAGAGGATGATGTGAGTAGTGGTCAGTAGATCTGAGTCACCACTGTTGAACACCAATGAGAAAGTTGCACCAAGAGTCAAAGAGAGTAGTTGGTAAATTGGCCATTAGCTTGAGACTGGGATTACAAGTGATGAACTACTTCCTAAATACTGTTCTAGAAAGCCTTGGCTCTACAGACTGCTACAGTTCAGTTTCAATATGCTCATTGCATATCTGGTGTGGTCTCCAATAGCACTATTCCCTGGAGATTCTGGAGATTCATTCAGACTTCAAACTCATACTTCACTCCCATGAGATAGTGCCACCATTCATATTCATGATGGCCAGCAGTTCTCTATTATAGATCTCATAGTTGCACTCAGTCACTATCAGCACTTTCAATAAGTATATAATGGACTTCTACTGCTTGTGCTGTTCTTGGCTCAAAATAGCCCCTAGCACCTTTTCTGATGTGTCAGCTTCTACTCAGAACTTCCTGGCATTGATTGGGATTGCTACAATAGGGTCTGAAGTGATGTGCTTTTTAATTTCTTGAAATGCTTCCTTCTGTTTATTGCTCTATTCTCATTTAACTTTTCCAGTAAACTGGGTGAGTGGTAATGCTACTTGGCTGTATCCTTCAATAAACTTCAATAAAAATTGGTGAATCCTAGGAACAACTGTAGTTTCCACTTTTTAGCTGGCCTTAGCCACTCTTATTTTCTGGTGATCTTTACCAAATTCATCTGTAGTTTTCCTTCCAAGATTATCAAGCCTAAGTACTCAGTTTTTAAGATCTCAAACTCATATTTTTCTGGTTTCAAACATAATTTATTTTCTCATAAAATCTAGAGTATCTAGTGCATCAGCTTCCAATGTTCTTTAAGTCTTTAGAGAAAATCATAATATCATCCAGATAAATAGTCACCTTTCTCTGAGTGATGAGATCTCTGAATAGATTATTCATCATTGTCTGAAAAGTGGCCAGCAAATTTGTGAGTCCAAAGAACATAACTAGCAGCTCAAATAGTCTTCAGTTGATGTAGAATGTGACCTTTCACTCATCTCCTTCTTGAATCTTAATGTGATAGAATGCTATGAATAGACTCTTTATCAGAATGAGTCAGTGAAACTCTATGACTCTAGTTTACTCATAACACAGTATATAAGTAGCTAAATATTGTGAAATAAAAAATCTCTTTTCATCTCTTAAAAACAACCTCTCAAGTGTGAACTCTTACTATTGGATCTGAGTCAGGCTAGAGAGTATCATGACATTGAAGCTGTTGAAAGAGAAATACTTGACTTCAGACTATACCTATACAGCTATTTATATCAACTGCTTGCTAGTTGATTGAACTATTCCACTAGACCTGATTGGACTTAAAGCATGTGAAACCTCATTATACTTCATATCATATATGTGCATCATGGCATGCCAAACAAAATCATCTTGAACAGAGATCCTCAGTTCATATTACAGTTTATCAAGAAACTGTACAAACTACTTGAAATCATGAGAAACCTATTAACAGTGTATTACCCTCAGTCAGATGAACAGATAGAGTGGGTCAATCAGAAAATGAAAAAGTACCTATGCATATTTATTAATCACCATCAGGATGATTAGATGAAATGGCTTCACATATAATAACCACTAAAACTGTGCTACTTGGTTTTCACTATTTCATCTTACAACAGAAATGAACACTAGTACCAGAATGAACCTCTTATAAAGAAATAGACAAGTACTCTGAGAAAATGAGTTTGTGACTATAATGAAGCAAATCCAGAAGGAAGCTGAAAAGTCTTTGACCAAGGCAGTGAAGATTATGAAATGCCAGTACAATAAGAGGAAGAGACTATTGCACAACTATCAAGTTAGCAACAAGATCATGTTGAACATGAAAAAGTTGGACAACAAGTTCAGAGGACTCTTCATAGTCAAATAGAAAATAGGCAAAGGCACCTATAAACTGGAGATACTAAAGACTTGGAAAGTATATCCAGTCTTCAATGAAAATCTTTTAAAGCTATTTAGGGAGGCTGAATTCCTGAATCAGGAAGCACCCTCTCTATCAGGGCCAGTAGTAGTAGACAGTGAGAAAGAATATGAGATTGACAAAATCCTGAATGACAGAGTATAATATTGCTACCATGAGGATTTAGTATATTTCAAGGGCTATGGCAATGAGGAGAACCAGTGATACATAGAGAAGGATCTGCTGCATGCCAAAAAACTCATCACCAAATGCATAGTAAAGCAAAACCCACTCACTTAAATCAAGCAATAGATGAGGAGAGTGCTCTTTGACAAGTGGGATATGAACTATGACTCAAAGACCTCTTTGAAAAGAAATGACACCTGTTTGAAACTGTAAAATTGTACAGTTGGAAGAATGATGAAGAGCTGAAGGCAGAGAAGGATCTTTGTAGACTAACCATATCCATTGGACTGAATATGCAACTTTTCAGTAGAAATCAACAGCAAAGACAAGGCTGAAGAACTTTTTCTGGATTTACTCTAAGTAGTCAAGGACAACTGCCTTGAGAAGAGGGTAATATCATGATTTTTGACCTTTATCTTATATAACTATAACCATCTTATCTTATCACTGATGCATCTGACATTCTAACACTTAGTCAAGCTGACTCTCACTCTCAGATATGCAGGAACCTCACTGAGACTGCCTGGAACTGTGCATAACTATGCACTTACTCAGTAACCTGCTGCTGCAGCACTCAAGCAGCTTGCCATAATGCAAAAAGTGCATGCTGCCTTAGTATCTGTTAGCAAACAGAAGAAAATAATCTCATAGATAGTAGGCAATGATGCTCTTTAGTGGAGCAGTGAATTGTGCTATTGAAGACCACATAGAATATGCAATGAGCATGTTATAAACTGAACCATAGTGGCCTGTAAAGCTAAGACTTTCTAACACAGTATTTAAGAAGTAGTTTATTATCTGTAACTCCAGTCTCAAGCTAATATTCAATTTACCAACTATTTTCTTTGACTACTAGTGTGACACTCTGATCAGTGTTTTATGCTAGCAACTCAGATCAACCACTACTTGCTTTATCCCTCTATCTTATCATTATTATTTATCTTCTTCTTTTGAAACTTCAGCATTGGACTCTGGCATTAGCTAAATAATTAGAATATTGGATTAGTCATCATCTGACAAGTAAGAAGGATCAAGCACCTAAAACTGTTGTATTACAGTTTCTTCAGCAGTTGAAGAAAAAATATTATCAATCGATAGTGAGATAAAGTGTTATGAATTGAATTATAAATAAAGATCTCATTAGAGTGTGTATATAACTGGTAGGATTCTTATCTATTATCTGTCCTTGATCTAAAATTTATACTACTCTACACTTGTTTCTACTATTGATAAGCCTTCCAGCTCTGTATACTAAGTATAATTTTTTGTCTCTATCTCTTGGATGGACTTTTATAAAGTAAACTGTTGCTATTTCAATCCAATTTAAACCAAGAAAAACAAGTTATTTAACTAATATTCACTCTTGTTTTCTCTCAGCATAGAATCTCTACTATTAGCTCTTAGACATATCATACTTTAGACTATATATCACTGTTACATCTAATTAGTTTATGATATTATGATTTTTATTTTTGAAATCTTATGAAACAAAAGTCAGTTGCAGTAATAAATTACTGAGACTGTTATTTTATTTGATTAGCAGAAGGTTACTCTCATAAGAAGTATTGAAGAATGCTTGAAATATTGAAATAATGCAGTACTTATTACTAATTGACCTTATTATGCTCTATATAGTATCAGTAGGAGAAAGATAATAATATACTAAGAATTTTACTAGTATATGAATTGATACAGCAGAATTGAGTGTAAAGTAGTATAAAATCTAGATCAAGGATAGACAATAAAGAGAGAACCTATCAGTTATACACACTCTAAGAAGACTTCTACCTATAATCTAATCTAGAATATCTCATCTCACTATTGATTGATAATGCTTTTATTTCAACTGCTGAAAAAACTGTAATACAACAGTTTTTGATCTTTTTTACTTCTAACAACTGATATTCTCAAAGTATAGAAAAACTCTATTAAAGCCAATCCCTTATCTTTTACTATCTTAAGGACACTGACTCATATTGCAGAGCAATATTCTTTTCACAACTTGTATAACTCTTTTGATAAGATTAATAAAGTTTGCTATTAGAATCTTATTTGTTTCACAAAGAACAGTATTTTCTTTGCTCACATATAGAGTCATCACTTAACAGTTTCTCACTAAAACTAAAACTATATTACCTTAACCAGATTATAGCTAAATACTTCACACTACAATTAAGCAGCTCTACTTTATAATCTATCTCTATTGAAAAAAGATAACAAAGAACTTTCATAGATTTTATACTGCTTATAGAATCAAACTACTTCTGGTTTTTTTCACTACTCTCACAGAATGCTTTAGTCACTGCATAAGAATGTACAACTAAATTTGCATAAATCAGCCTTCAGATTCTGTATTGATTAATGCTGATAAAGTTATAGACTTCTATAGATAGTTAATACAAATTCTTGATGATAAGTGTTAATCAGTATAGAATCTGAAGACTGGTTTATGCAAAGCTAATTATGCACTTCTGTGTAGTGACTAAAGCATTCTGTAAGGATAGTGAAGAAAAACCTTTAGGAGTTTATTTCTGCTAATAATATAAAATCTAAAAGAGTTTTTTGATATCTTCTCACAATAAAAAAAGAAGTTGTATCAAGTGAGAGACTATACTATGAGACTATCTAATTGCAGAGTGAGGTATTTAGCTATAATCTGGTCAAAGTAATATTGCTTTTGGTTCTAATAGCTAAAGGTTAAAGGATTGCTTTATATATGAGTGAGAAAAACTTTGGTGTTTATTAATAAAGGTTTTAAAGCTTTAGAAGCAAGCTAAGACCAATACTCTAGTTACAAGCAGAGATCTATGGTTGCTTTATATGCAAGTATAGTTTTATGATTTCTTTATAGCACTGGACAAAAGTTAATGTATTTTTACCTACAGATATATAGAAAATATTTATAGTTTTTTTTACTGAAAAGAGTTTAAGAAATATTTAAAAGTTTTCACTATTTTATGCAAAATTTGCAAAATATAATGAAAAGTTCTAAATATTTTTATTATTTTTTCTATAAAAATACTTAAAAGAAATTTTGAATAGTTTCTGTGTATTTAGAAGTAAAAATATATAAATTTTAGTCTAATGTGAGTGAATAAAGAAAACTATATTTTTCAGGATAAAGAAAATAATATTTCTTAATAAGACAAACAAGATTCTAGTAGCAAGCTTTATGAGCTTATTAAAGAGTTTTGCAAAGATACTTCTCTAGTTATAAGAAGAGTGCTGCTCTATAGTATGGATCAATGTCTTAAGATGATGAATAAAAGATTGATCTTAATAAGATTTTTTATTCTTTGATAGTGTTAGTCAGTTAGAAGTAACTATATCATTGATACATAGTGTATACATCCAGCCCTAAAATTTGTGAATTTTAAACAATATACTCACAAAGCTGAAGTCTGTATAGCTAGCCATTCAAATGCTATAGTGGAGGCTCTAAGCTGACAGCCACAGCTGGAAATGCTAAGTTCAATTTGGACTTAGAGAACTAACTTCACATTGAGATGATACTCCTAAGTTGAATTGAACTTGCTTCTGAGCTAGCCAATATAAAATATTAATAAGATCATATTATTTATAGATTCTATACTTTTTACTCATGTATAAAAGAATAGAAGAGAGAGGGAATCACATGCAAGTGATCCATCCCCATGATTAGACCTTCTAGCTCACTGTAGTTAGTCTCTGGATCAAAGGCTTTGTGTCTAATCTCTACTTGAGTAGCTTTGTTGCTAAGTCACCTTGTATTGAATAGAATTAGAGTTCTTAATTAAACTTTGGGTTTTAGCATAATTTGGGTTCCAGCTTAATAAGAGTGTCAGTATCAGAATACAAGTTCTTCAGTTTTGAGGACCACTAGTTGACTACAAGTGCAGCTAGTCAAGCCTAAGTGCTTGAGAGACTTAGTATTAGACTTTGGCATTTATTGGGTTTTGGAGTATTTTAAGCTAAGCAGAGCACAGTAGCTCATTATGTTAAGTCTCAATTTGCATATTGTGTCCTATCCACACTACTCTTGCAAATATTGCATCTTAGAAAGCAAACTAATATTGAATTAACAGTCTTTATACAATTGTTCTTAATTTATTTGAGTCTGCAGAGTGCTTCTATTATACTTGAAACACCTGAACTCAACAATATTGGTGATGGTGTATAGAGTAATTAAGCCTTAGTGACTGAGAGCTCACTTCTCTTTTGCTTGTCTTAGTGGCTTAGCCATTACTGAGCACATCACTATAACTATATGAGCTTAAATCATTGATAGTATGAGTCATAACTGTATCTGTCAACTATAATTTTGTCAATGCCATGTGACTCCAATATTCTTTTATTCTGGGTAGACAAATAAGGACCTTAGTATCTGTCAGATCACAGCAGATTTTAGGCTAAAATACCTATATTCAGTGAACTCATATTGAACCTGTATTTTTTTGTCAATACACAAACCCTATACAGTATGGTTATGGTACCCATGTCAACTGTCCCATAATTCTGTAAATACAGATATAGTGCAGATCCCTAAATGAAATGAAGAGTGAGAACAGTACAAGAATCCTTTCTGAATTCATCACAAGAGAAGATCTAGTTAAACATGAGAACTTTTGTAGTATTGATACTGTGCAGGACATGTGGATGTGTGCTATTGTGCATAATAATAACTATGGGGCCTTTGGTGGTGGTCATAATCAAAATCTGACTTTCATCATGCACTGCCAGTGGTTCCAGAAGCAAATTGTGGCAGCTTCATTTTGTCATTCTCACACTTTGAATATTGTATATTCCAAGGCTCTATTACATGCATAATATAGATTTTTTTAGACTTACGTATGAGGGTCTGGCATTCGTGATGAAGACATGGGCTGTAGGCTTGTTTTTTTGAGTATTAATTGAGCTCTCCGAACTGCGAGTGATGTCCCGGTCCGGGTTTGGAAACACATGGCGTGGCGAAGATGCCGCAAGTAAATACCTGTACACTCTTTCATTCCCCTTCATCCGACATCGAAGAGGTAGTGCGTCCTCAACGACGACTCAAGGCACCTCAGGAGATAACCTACACACCACCGACGCTCACGATATCACTGACGACCACTAACGATAATGACGAGCACTGACGAATACAATCTCACGACCCTTCTCCCATCGACATCATATCTACTGGCCTATACATTACCTCTTCTTTTACTCTCTCTTTTACTCACGTTCTCGGGCGCATTTTTAACCCTCGACCGTACGCGACAATTTGTGCCTCGATACGATGCTATGCCAGGCGTATTTGATTCACCAAAGAAGTTGAAATGGATTCTGGAAGGCGGTATTGGTGGCTTAGCCATTGGATACACCTTTGGACGTGTGTCATCCTATCTTATTACACGATTTCTCCGTACTGAAGTGGTCGTGTAGTGCATTTTTCGACGTTCTTGGCACTGCTGATTCCATCCATAACATCCTCAAGCGCGTTATCATACAAGTCCTTTGTTGCCGTCTGGTTTCTGACCTCTCTTCTGACTACCTTTCTCGCCGGAAGATGGAAGTACTGTGCACTGGCATTCGGCGGTATCTCCGGAGGGTAAGCCCATCATCAGTTTCTTCCGGTATGATTGTCTGAAGCCGAGTACTAGCGCCCTATTCGTCCTCGCTCTTTCTGTCATCATTCATCCCTCGCTGCTGACACGCATCGTCTTTTTGTCTATATGCCCCCCCATTGTGACTCTCTTCACTCTGCTTCCCCTTGTCAAATTTCAGCATGCGTCTCTTCGCTTTGCTACTGCTTCCATGGGTTCCTTTGGCGTCATCGTCGCTATCGCGGCCTTGGCTCATATTCCCGCATGGGCTAATGTTTGGGACCGTCTGTGGCTTACCGCAAGTATAGAATGGGAAACAAGCGAGGAGAGAGGTCTCAGTGCAGGATTCTGTCTGTTCCTCTGCACAGGAATGTTGTCAGATTGGTTCATGAAGAGGACATTTGGCGAGTGCCCGGATGAGGTATGTATCAGGCTCGGCAGCAGAGAATACAACACTTACAAGATTATAAAGAAATGGGATAGCTATCTCGCCGACTATGCAACGAACCTTCCTAATCGTGCGGACCGTGCAGGAGTGTATCAGCCTTTCACATCTGTATGGGATCGCATCTTTGGCTCAACCGAGAAACCCGTCATTCCCAAGAATCTTGTCTTCCCTGACGATGACAAGACTGGTTCGTCTTTGCCTTTGAAGCCAGACAAGAGCGGGCAGACCCCTCCTGAACATTCCTCATTCGATCTCCATCAAAGCCCGGGGTTCTTGAAGAAGGCACGCTTAAAGAATAACAACCGGGCTCGTTTTCATGCTCGCATGGTCGAGTGTAAACGCAATCGAGAAGCTGTCAAGTTCCGGCCTCTAGACCAACTCGAGTCCGGCTCAGATTCAGAGGAAGACGGCCTCAAAGCGAAACCACTCACAGGTGGACGGCCGTGGCTGAAGCAAAGTCATTCTACGACATCCACGCCGCCAACGCTGGTTGGCGACAGCGAAACAGATGCCAAGATCAGGCTGCCAGATGATATTGACTACGACAAGGAAATTCAGAAGCTTGGACAGCTCAAGCGGAAGAATGTGACCAATGGACTTGGGGAGGGGGAGGTGCCCGACTACTCTGACCATGAAGAGGACCTTACGGGTGTCAGTCAGCGGAAGCCCGATGCTGAATGGAGTCCCGGGTTCATAAAGCGATATCGGTCGTCGAAGACACTGTCTTCTAGCCGTGGTACAGCTGTCGAGTCACCATCACCTCCAACGGGTGCTGTTCCCGTCACTCCCTCATTGATAAAGGCTCTTGACCGGATTGCCATGGCACAAAAGGATGCGTTTGGACCGCGAGGAAGGGAGGAACTTCCATGGATTGAGGATGAAAACCAAAACTGCGGGGACGGATGGGCCGATTTTTGGCGGGATGTAAGAAATAATGCAGCAAGAGTTAGTTGAGCAGAGAGGTTCTGATTTTATTAGATGGGGTTACGACTAGCCTCAATGCGTTCTCGCCAGGAGGAGCGTGGGGTGTACTTCATGATGCGACACGATTTATATTTTATTTGATTATTTGTATTATTGTTGTATTTTGCCTTGTGAATGTTTTCTGTTCTGGTTTAATCTGTCACGGAGCGTTTCTAGATGCAGGATGTTTAGACAGGGTTTCACCGACCTTTCATATTTCGGCACAAAACGACCAGGGCCCTGCAGCTTTCTACCAGCAATGACACCGATCCTGATGGACCCGAGCCACCATCTTTTTTTCAACCATTATCTGCTATCGTCCTCTTACCATCGTGTCTTTCACCAGTATGTGACCTTTGGTTTCCTCATCATCTTACAACTAACGCTGAGATCAGATGGCTTCAATCGACCAATCGACCATTACCATGGATCTTCCCGATGAAATTCTCCTTATCATAGTGAAGATCAAGATCTTATAGCACTCGGACGGCTCTGCCGTTGACTCAACCAGCTGGCTCTGCCCCGCGCCATTTATCTTATCTTAAAGACGGATCGAAGAGGCAAATTTGGTACCTTCATCAGTACCGCTCTAACCATCTGATCTAGAAGAGTATACACCATGGGAAACGTGCTCGGTGGTTTCCAATTTTCATCATTGAAGGCCACTCAGCCTTTCATTTTTTACGAAGCCAAGCATCCAGAACATAGGGTGCACCTTTTCGCAGGATTTCGAACGTGAGGCGGGCGAGGTCGCGTTCTATTTCCGGACAGCTCCGGAGTTGACTCGTATTCGTCTGGTACTGAACTTCGGAACCAGGGCTGTTGAGTGAAGAATTTTATGGCCTGGAGTCTCTGTTAATCAACATGAACTTGGAGCAAGGGACTACACCACCTGTCGTGGTGGACACGAAGGAGAGAGATGGTGTTGCTTTTCGAAAGCTGCTATGAGGATTGGCGGGCCTTACAGTACATGACCACGACCCGTCGCAGCCTCAGCTGCTGGTTTTGAAAGGGATTTGATCGTCGGCGAGAGCGATGCTACATTTCAGTGCCAACCCCTGGTTGTGTCTGGAGATGTTGAGATACTTAGCATCAACGTCTTGTTCCCCGCTCCATTCCTTGACTGGATTATCGCGCCATTCAACGTCTCCTATATCACCAGACTGACGTTACGTGGCCTTGATGTTGGACAGCACCTTTCTCAAATGCCTCTTGCCGGTCCAATGTCCTTTGCTGTCGCCATCTCACCTTATCCCATTCTTATCCTGACATAACCTCCTTGTCCGGCTACTCATCGGCAACATATGTCCAGTTGAGGACCCCAGTGTCACTTTTCCATCGAGCGCACTCCCCAATGTCGCTCACATAACCGCACCATCCGACCTTATCTTATTGGCACTCTCGAAACCCAGCATCATGCCTCTCGTCACGAATGTAAGTGTCGGTTACAAAGACCGCCAGAGCGTCTCGGCCTTGCAGAAACTCCTCGGCATGGTTGCGACTCACCCTCACATCTGCAAGGTATTATGCCTTCCACCGGAGAGGCACCAAGCTGGTTGAGTGAATGTATCCTGTATACATATTTGGACAAATATTCCATAGCATGCAATCAATCCTTAAATGAATTACTGGAACCTGGTATCTTACTGTAAAATATGCGCATACGCTGAACTGAATCATTCAAAAGAAAATTCCTCCGGGTTCATTCCGACTATCATGCCTTCTAGGCCCCCCTCAATCTCCATGCATCCAATATGATCTTGGCCCACTTCCTTCAAGAAACCGCCCTCCGCAATATATGTCTCTCTTCCAGACTTCGGTTCCAACACGAAGTCTTCCACTATCATCTTACACCACTGTAAGACCGGTCTCGCAACCCATCGGGTGTTCCAGGACTCGAACCATCCAAGGTGTCCACCTCCTGGCGTGACAACCATACAGACATGTTCATTTTCCACCCCGGCAGGGGAGGTGTAAGCGATTGGGTCATCCTTCGCATTCAGCGTTAACAGCGGAACTCGTACGTCAGCCAGGCTAGACGCCCATGTAGCGTCATCTTTCACGGTGGCAAAGTCATACGCCTGCGGTACACTGCTATTTGGGGGACGGGTAGAATGATAGTGGAATTGCGTGAGTGTTGTCGATTCTCGGGATACCGTGGCTGTCATTAATGCTTCGTGGAAAGGTGCCTGCGTGAACGTCGGCACGAAGTGAATCGTAAGAAATCGTACGAGGCTGTCGTGGATCCCCCTCGCGCTAACGTAGCCGTAAGGACCGAGAAGATTGGACACTGTTCTGATGAATAGTTGGTTAATGATCCTCAACTCCAGAAAAGACGTAACGCGCGTACATTTTACTATTGATCTTTAGATGCCAAGGCTGTCACGTTAGATATAGTCAGTTACGACGGAACGACGCGATAACAGGTACTCACACAGCTCAGAATGCAGGCAGTCGATAATCGACTTAGCTCCTTCTCTTCGGCAAGATACCGTAGAACGATGTTTGCGCCAAGTGAGAATCCGAGTCCAATTAAGGGCGCAGCAGGAAAGCGTTTTGATATATAAAGAAGCGCCTGCCGCAAGTCATCGGTCGGACCTCCATGAACTGGTACGCCAGCACCTAATAGTCGGATGAGGAGAAGGATATTTCGAAATGAAAAGCATATCGCTTACAGCCACGGATATTGGCGACCACTCCTCGGTACCCAAGACCACCTTTCTCTACAGAAGAGCAAGCCGGTGCTAGAATCGCCCGGATATAGGCCTCGTAGCCACCTACAGACAGGAGATCAGAGCTTCGAACTATCTAGCGAACCGGTTTACTTTCCTCCATCCAGGACAGTGACAGAAACAAGGATAGGCGAATCGTCCGCTAAATCTTCATGAGTTGACGTGAAATCGAGGCATCTGATGAGAGCGTTAGTTCCATTCAAAAGATGCAACAAAGTACTCGGACAATGTTCCACCATCTAGCAAGTGAAGGTAGGTTCTGATCATTCATAAGCTCAATATGCTTTGCAGGTTAAGTAACGGAAAGACCATGCATACCTGTCGTATTTTATTTTGTCTATGTGAGAGAATTCTCCGGCAACGCAATATAATGTTTGTAAATGTCCACTAAAGGCGAACGTCAGAGAAGATTCATGCAAGGCCCGGCAATCACGAACTTGAACAACCACCAAGCAGGCGAAAAGTCCTCAAATAAGGCAGGGCACCTGCGCTCTATGATTTTCCGCAACGAACAAAGTATCGTCTCTTTCGATCCCCGAGCTCTCCGTACTTTCACGTTTGCAGGTGTCGCGGGAAAGTAGATCTGGGACTTCTGGGAGCTGAAACCAAGACCCATTTCACGCAGGTTGGTAGTCGAGAATAGCAGTTAAAAGGCTTAGATTAACCCGGGACCTGCAACCGCTGCCAGGGACGTTGTGGTTTTACTCTGGGTCACACACTCCGCATGGTGGAGGAGATGTATTAGGATGTATTGTTTCGGCGGAGAACAATCACGAGACATAAAGAGACGAGTTTGGCCAGTCGAGTGCAAACTATTGGTAAAGCACGCTCCTCGATTCGTAGGCTGCTCTTAAGTTGCTCTAATACGCAGATAACACTTTCAGCTGCAGCGAGCGGTGTTAGATATACGAAAAAGCTCACCGCATCATCGGTACGGATCCTTAGGAATGAAAGATCTGACCGACCAGTCCGGGATATTCATTGAATACCAGGCACGCAGGGCGGTCTCATTCAAAATTTCGTCAGACGCCCGGTATCAAAGATCGGTCAATTGTAAGTCCTCCTCGACAGAAGGAATGAATGGCCTTAGTCAACTTCCAAGTATGCGGTGAAACACATTTCATCACGCGGCGGTGCAACCGCAACCAAACCTCCTGAGATCCAGGAAGGAAACAGCTGGTAGCGCCACTTGAAAGGCAACAATTCTAGGTAGTGATGCCTCATGCTTGAGGTAGAAAGATGACCTTTGTTGGTTCAACGCACAGTCACAAACTTCAAAGCTCACTTGCGCGCAAGAGTCAAGAGCCAGAAACAACGTTGAGAATGAAATAACACGGAAAACCCGGGCCGGAACACAAGGAACCGGTCACGCCAGCTGTGTCTATTGAGCCTGACGTCATAAGTCCTTCCCACGGCTCACAAGTTACGAACTCCTGCTGTGTTTATATTTACCTATTAGATTTGACGCAGTAAGAGTACCTGCGAGTCCATAGACCACAACCATCCAGAAAACAGAACATGTCCTACAATCCCTCGTATGCACCGCGCTTTAATGTCTAGATGAACAGAAGGCTCCCACATTGAAGTGGCGTTGCACAAGCTTTGTACATCAGAAATCACACATATCGCGTGTATTCCAGGCGGATGCGACCGTAAGACGGCTCGGAGACAGTAGCTCAGACGCCACAGTCTATGTTGTGACTAACAGATCTCGGTATTCTCCGTATCTTGCTTGAGAATCTGTGCGATATTTCGAAGACAAGGTTGGTGCATCCAATGAGATTTATATATAGTAACCGTCGATAGCCACCATGCTTTTTCCGCGTGAAGTGGTGCCATCCTGGATAACACAATGTCTTGATCCTACCAAAGAATATCTTTGAACACTCCAAGAGTGATGAGGTCTTTTGTCTGTGAGCTTATCATTCGAATGGCTAAATATTGTGCTCGTGTTATTTTTAACGATGGGAGTCTCCTCGGAAATTTGAAAGCGGTGGTCACTGATCAGGAATGAGCATAATGTATTCACAGAGCTGCCTATTCCTTTTTATACTCACTGGTAGGTAGGTAGGTAGTATTATACAACACGGCAACTGAGAATGGATAGCACATACAACAAGAAGTCAAGACACTTGAAAACATAATTATGGTGCGATGCGGACAGTCATCCAGATTCCAGAGTCGGCTCTCCTACATATTGTTCCTGGGAAAGTTTCCCGCCTCTTCGCCAAGAATAATCAGCGCCTTACCCTTCACCTGCTGACGTATGACAGGGATTGGGCTGGAGGTTGTCTGATCCATCTCGTTCGTGATAACAGACAACGGAGTTGCAGGACCGAGGGAGTCCGGATCGTTGTTGCACATGGCTGAATCGCATGCCACCATGGTGCTGCCAAAGCCACTCGAAGGGAAATGAGGAGTCGAGAAAGAGTTGGCAAACTCGTAGGCGGCATCCCAGTCAGAAGAGAACGTCGAGAGCAGAGGGTCGGTACGAGGAAAAGGAGCCAATGGGACCACTCTGGTGTCGTCAAACCCCTCTGATAGCGGGCTCAATGAGGGACGCCTCTGGTCACCACTGAGTTCTAGGTATCCCAGAGATACAGGGGACAGCTGCAACCCAGAATAGACTTGCTCATCGGTGCTCTCGGAAGTGGCTGCAAGCTGAGATTCGTCGTTCTCCAAACCGACACGCTCGGGGAATGTGTGCTTCCTTTGCTTGAGAGGGATCTATTCAGTCGAGGTCTGCTTGGAGCCAGACCCAGGCTTCAGGTTGAATATGTAACTGGCCTTTTTGACGACAGAACGTACTTTGGGAGGCAGAAGAATCGAAACCGAATGATAGCTGTCAAAGGTCGGGATAGCCACTTCTTGACCTTGGTCCGAACTGCTGGGGGATGAGGAACGAAGCAAGGACATAGCTTCTTCTGCGGTAGGGGAAAGTTGTGAACGTTGATACATGGTAATGACAATGAATGAAATTGCAGAAGGGGAGTCAAAGAGTGATGAGTGTGGCAAGACTTTCGATTGAGTAACACGGATTTAGGAACGACTCTGGACCCTAATCAGTTTTCGAACTCAAGGTCGTGAAAGGAATACTCACTGTCCGCCAAGTATTGTGGGAGTGGGGAGTAAAAGAGAACCATGGTTTAACTTTGACCTTTTTATACAGCAAAGTCCCGATCAAAGACAAAAGTCGATGGTGCTGGGCAATGCCTTACTTGATTGACATTCCTTCTGGACAAAGCGAAGGATATGTATGAGGCTGTGCTGAAGTGCCTTGAGAAGAAAGGCCATGGCTAAATCTTTCAAGCAATATGCCTAGAGTTTGTGGGGTCGTCAACAGTACAAAGACATCATGGCTCCCCAGGACCCGGGCCGGAGGATTTTAACCCACTGAGTCTCGGCGGACTTTCAAACTTTTTTTTTCAGCTGGTATACCTTCTCCTCGACGTGTCGTGCGACGTCCCGACGACCATGCCCACCCATGCTCTACTTGAGACCGCTTCCGGCTATGCCATATTTGAGGTCAAACTTACAGGGGAAATTGAGGCCAAGTCAAAGCCCTTCCAGGATTCAATAAACGATTTTTCGAAATTCTCAAAAATGGTGTCGCTCATGAGCTTTTCGCCCTTTAAAAGTGCAGCTCACGCGTTGGAGAATGCAAACGATATCTCGGAATGTGCGCTACATTTTCTTTGCATATTTTCTCTTTCTAACATACTACAGCAATCGTCAATGATTACCTGAAATCCCTTGTCGAGCTCAATCTTTCCAAGCCAACCAAAAAATCGTCCATTGTGCTAGCCGTAACGGATCCAAATTTGGGAAACTCGATACGCGTAGAGACCAAGGTGCAATGCGAGTCTGGAGACATGGCCATGGAGCTCATTCGAGGCCTTCGTCTGCATGCAACCAAGTTGCTCAAAGGATTGCAGAACGATGATTTTACCAAGTCCCAGCTTGGTTTGGGCCATTCTTACTCTCGCGCGAAGCTAAAGTTCAACGTGAACCGACACGACAACATGATCATTCAAGCCATTGCCCTTCTTGATCAACTCGACAAGGACGTCAACCTATTCTCCATGCGCATTCGGGAATGGTATGGTTATCATTTCCCAGAACTCGTCAAACTCGTTCCCGACAACCACCAATACGCTCGTCTTGTTCAATTCATTGGCGAGAAAGAGACGCTCACCGAGGAGAAGCTCCCCGAGATAGAAGCTATCCTCGAAGACAATTCCACCGTCGCTCAAAACATTCTAGATGCTGCCCGTGGATCCATGGGTTCCTCCCTCTCCGAAATTGACATGCTCAACATCTCCACATTCGCCATTCGCGTCGTCTCGCTAAGTGAATACCGCAAGTCATTAATCACTTATCTATCCGACAAGATGAACCTCATCGCACCAAGTCTCACGGCTCTGTTGGGTGATCGAATCGGCGCACGGCTTATCAGCCACGCTGGAAGTCTGACGAATCTCAGTAAATACCCTGCCAGCACTGTACAGATTCTGGGTGCCGAGAAAGCGCTATTTAGAGCACTGAAGACGAAGGGCAACACACCGAAGGTATGTTAATTATAGGTTTCGTGTCTGCTTCTAGACTGACCGCATTGATCAGTACGGGCTCATATATCATTCGTCGTTCATTGGCCGTGCAGGTCCCAAGCATAAGGGTCGTATCTCGCGTTTCCTAGCCAACAAATGCTCGATAGCATCGCGGATAGATTGTTACTCCGGTATGCTGTTATGCAATTCTCCCAACTCTATTAACTTTTTTTTTTTGGCGTAGACAACCCCACCGCAAAATTCGGCGAGGCTCTCCGGGGACAAGTCGAAGAACGTCTTGAATTCTTTGAGAACGGAACGCCTCCATCGAAGAATGCTGATGCTATCCGGAAGGTTTTGGACGCGCTTGCGGAGGAGGAAGAGGTGGATGTGGAGATGGATGGCCCGGCCTTGACGACTCTCGAGCCGTCGCCAAAGAAGGAGAAGAAGAAGAAGCGAAAGAGTGACGCTATGGACGTTGACGACGAGGAGGAACCTTCACCGAAGAAGGTGAAGTTATCAAAGGAGGAAAAGAAGGCGTTGAAAAAAGCTGCGAAAGAGAAGGCCAAGAAACAGGGTGCTGAAGCGGTACGTTTGATCTTATGCTACGTTTGCATTGTCGACTGATAATCGTGGTTCCTAGGATGTGGATGTCCCTAAGAAGGAGAAGAAAAAGGAGAAGAAGGAGAAGAAGGAGAAAGAGAAAAAGAAGGACAAGAAGGAGTAGTTCCCCTTATCTTGGTGCCCTCTCTCCTTTCTGTCCTGATTTATCTGTGCCATATCTATTTTCTCCTAGTATGTATATTTTGCACGATTCGATGAGACACGTACCTGCGCACTGGCAGGACTACTTCCCTAGGTTCCGGTTAAGGTTCGTTCTTGATTGGTGGCCACGATCTTACACGTAGTTTTTCAGAGACCGCGATGTTCTGATTCTCGTTATACTTATCGTTACGATTATTTATAGCGCAGACCGCTGTGTTAATGGCCTTCGACTCGCCACCCTTATCCGTAAATGAAGACATCAAAATCACTTTGTCGGATAACATTGTATATCTATTTAAGCTGGTTCTTGGCGGAGCGCTGATTTTGGACACTGTCGATTGTCGAACGTGGGTTCCTACCTGGGCTTTCCCAGTGAGCGGGGAGCCCGGGGTCGCCCAGACATTATAATCAGGAGATGGCCGGAGTAGCCGTCATGCGAAGAGCTGCAGCGTTTTAGTCGTATTAGCCTGATGGTGGCGTAGAAGTATGGGGAAGGGGTAAGTAATGGCAAGGAATTCGATTTCGGTATCTGAAGTGCGCTTCGACTGTAGTAACGCGTGTGCTTACTCACATCTGCCACGCAACCGTAGGATCTTTCCCTCGGACTCACAGGCAGTGATATTTCTGTGGCGAGAAGGATCGCCAACGAGGACCATCCAGATGGATGGACAACATGCGCACTGCGCGCTGAAATCTCCGTCGTTGTTGTCTGTTCAACGATCGGGTGCATGGATGCCTTCACATAGCGGTTCCCCCTCTCGCCTGACTGAAGCTCCCATTTACAGGCCATTCCTTCCAGGTTCTCTCTTCTGATATGTGGCAGCATCTTGATGTAGCTCTTACGTTCAGTGCTTCTCTATGTTAGTATCACCGTCATTATCGCATCCAAGTATACCTGATTGTTCAGCTTCGGCCTTCGAAGTCCTACGGAAAGGAAGCGGGAACCCGTTCGGTTGGCCCAAGATCTGACTTGGAATGCGCGATATAGTATCCCGGCCAGGGATCCTAAGTTCATAAAGGTGCCGTCAAGTTAACCTTAAACAGTGAATTCGGTTCCTATCTGGTTCGCCTCGAAGAAGGCTGGACCGGATTTTTACATGCATTCTTGCTTATAGTTGACTTGGATGAAAGCTGTCTCGGAGACGGTACCGGGCCATATCCACTTAGGATCGGGTTGGGATTGGCTAGCATTGAAATGGATCGCACCCGTGAACTCCGCGAAGGTTCGTTATTGGTTCAAATGATTGGATGCACGTAGAAAGATAAAGAGTCACAGGACGCCTTCTAAATCATACTAGCTGTCTTAGGCGGGTCGTGGACTCGTCTCTTCTCGTCACATCGCCGAGACTTAAAGAAAGGTGGACAGAGCAGGTGCATAACACCTCGAGGCGTTTCTTGCTATCACCAAGTTGAATTCCACCCAGTGCCTTGGCCTCGTCCTAAACCATCTTTAGCGCCAGGAGACGTCACCTTCTTTACGTGAGTCTCTGAAGTTAGGCACTATTCAGCCATCATCACTCTTCGCAGATTGAGTCATTGTCAACATGTTACTTGTGCGTCTGTCCTATGACGCATAGATGTATATACTCAGGCTGTCAAAGGGTGAGTATCCGCAGACGTTGCATAAACCGGGCCCGATGGAGCGATGCCATTCTTCTTAAGAATAGGCGGACCGCCTGCTGTACACTTTCAAGTTGCATAATAGCTGAGCTATCGTCATCGTACGGCATCCCGTTCGTCCTTCGATGTGTCATTTCTATGCGACCTTGCGTCAAATTCCACTGACTGCTCCTCTGAATCTGATCCTTCCGATGCGCTCATGAAATACCAGTAGGTCTGTATGTCGTATATCTATTCCGTTTACGTCCAGGCAGATTTCGCAATCCATTATCTGGGGATCAGCTTTCCTAATAAATGTTCCTCAGCTGCTACCGCCTTGATGTCGAGGTGATACGACATTGTCGCACTTTGGAATGTTTCCATGTACCAACTTATACGCTTTCAGCCCCTCTTGTTGTTGGCATGATCATCAAAACATGCCACATTATAATGAAGCTCTCCGAGGAATCTCCTCCCGAACTTCACACGTCGACGGTCAGATACCCCAACATGAGGATTTCGTTCGGATCTCGACAGACAAGTTGAGAATCACGGTACAGGCACTGAGGGAAGAAAGAACGGCCAGAGATGTGGCTGTGTAGTTTGAAAACCCGACATTGTTAATAGCAGCGGATGGATATATGGTGGACTCGAAAAAGTCAGGCCTCGTTGCACCAGTCTCGAAAATCTACCAGCCTATCCAGGAAAGTAAATGTCGTCACGTGAAATAGTCGAGAAGCAATTGGACCCTTGAGTTATAAGCCTTATGTATCACCTCGTGTTCGACAGGCTCCTCCGTTCTCCCTTTTGGCACATAAAGGTTGCACGGGGCGCGAGTGTGGGGTCTTGAGAACGACTTCACGACGATCCTTTCGTCAAAGAGTTGTATATGTACAGGCAAGCCATTTCTCATACACTTGACAGACAACTCACCGCTCCTACAGCTGGCCCTGCTCTCTAGCTTGCCTCGCCCGAGTTAACGTTCTTCACGCTCACGACTATCTGCTCTCTTATTGCTCTCGATATTCGCATCTCGTCCCGTGCTTTCCAAGTTTACGTCGACATCACGCTTTCGTCTCTGCCCGTCATGTTCAAATCGCTGTCGAGTTCTATACCCCGCACGCCCATGATTTCCAGTATCGAACTCCCAGATAGCACTTCGCCTCTCATGATGAGGCCGGCATCTAGACTCTCCAGCCGTTTTACGACGGCTTTTACGACTTCGTCTCGATCCATGACCCCCGCGCCGAACGAGAGGTCTCGAAAGGATTCGACCACGTTGTCGTCTTCTTCACGGATGCGCAAAACGTCGATCACGGGCGGTATGCGCTCATTCGGAAATTGACCTGATTCTAGCTTATCTTCATTTGTAGGGCTGAAGTTGATTTTGAAGCCTAGGAAGCCCTCGCCGGAGCCAGTCCCGCAGCGACAGATCGGTACGTGGATCCTTGTCTATCAGCCCTTGTGCTATAATGATGTCCGTGATAGCAATGCCCCGTCCTCGGAAGGCCTCAAGAACGAGTCCAGTGGATGATATTGAAGCCGCAGGTAAGTGTTCACTGAACCTTGAGAGTGGCGACGACGGCGCTGAGGATGGATATTTAGCAGTAGGTGCTAGGCCACCAGTTTTAGCTTATACTCAATCCAATTCGTCACATCAAGGTCCATCGGGATGGCGTAAGTCGCCTAGATCTTTATCATCTGTATTTTGCTTACGTGCCTTTAGCCGCAACCAATGACGATAACAATGTAAACCACCCACCTCCTACATTAAATAAATATGTTTGTATGTAAATATTCGCCTCCGCTAGTGAATGTAGCATTGACATTTTGCTCCAGTTCCATCCAAACCGACAGATGCGCTTGAAGCGCCATCGGGTTCCTATCGAAAGTCACGACATAACGAGGCGCCACCGAGACCGCAGACGTCAATGGGCTCCCGACATCCAAAGAAAGCTGACAAGGCTCGTTCTGGAAATCTAACGGACATTGAAGCTCCCCTCAAGATACCGCCGGTGCAGCTGAGGACCGAGACCCGTGCGTCCTACAGAGCTAACCTCGTAGAAATACCCTTCCACTGAATATCGAGTAGTACCAGTAAAACGAGGGCAGGTCACGTTGCAATGGCCTCTAGTCAGGTTTAGCCTCTCCGATAAGATGTCCAAATTCTGGGTGGTTATGTTCAATATTATATTCGATCCCGTCCGAAACCGGCCTCAGCTTAAACGTTTCAACGGAGACTACTATGTGGAAATGAAGGATGAAGAACGTACACTAACTGCGTCGTCTCATAGCACGTTGCGCAAGATGAACATTCGAGTCAAGGTGGACCATCCTTTCATACCGTGGGTAGTGAAGGTTCGGCGAAAGGAAGGCATTCGGTGCATTGATGTATTCGAGGCTGTTTATAGCTGCTTCAATACGACCTTGACGGCCGATGAAGCACTCCGTTACCAACATTACCTGAAGACAGAGTGGTGCGTTGCGGCCTTCAGATTCCGCTGTGCGAAAAGTCCCGGAATCACGTACGTCAATGAGAAACAAGGCAGGCGGCGAGTTGACCTCTTAGGCGAGCGGACCTTTTTCGGCGGTTTAACGCATGACGGCGACGACAAGTGGACCTTGGCGCTGGAATCGCATCGCCGGTTTGCACCCTGTTATATGTAATATGGTTAGCTTCTTGCAGTCTGACGTCGACATGGACTGACGAAGTTTCAGCTTACCTCAGTTTATATATTCAACCACGGTCATTTCGCCGACTACATCTTTACAATACCTCACTCAGTATCTACATCAACCCACAGTCATTTAGCTTATCACTCACCCCTGCGTTGCTGTTCCGGGACCTGTAGCATTACCTCTTCGCATTACCTACCACACACTACACCCTTCCGAGTCATACTTACACAAATTTCATACTTCAATACCTCACTGTTATGTTTTTTGATCGATCAGAGTGTGTGGATGACAGCCGAGGTATGTTATCCATAGACGATGCGAGTGCATCAGTGTACGACCTCGACCCTCATTGGCGGTCAAGACTCCAGAGCGAACACCGTGTCGGAGCTCATGTCAGGTGACGCATTAATCTGAACGCCGGGAAGTGCGTGAGTTTTCTCAAGAGATAGACTGGGGGAAAGTAGAACGATGGTAACTGGATCATAATAAGGGAAGATGAACGTCGTGGTTCGAGTCCAACATTCAATACGGCTGTGTGCCTCTTAGTTGCTCATATTTATTTCAGAAGCCATCTGCATTCCAAATTACCAGGTATAGAAGGACTGGTTCTAACCTTCGGGTCGAACTTGTTGAACATTGATAATGGTATCCCTTGTTCCCTCGCTTACATACCGGCTCATAGTTGTGGTATATAATTTATACGTTGACATTCGAGAAAAATGTGCGTAATAGGGACGGGCTTGAAACCCTTGGGGGGGGGGGTCTTCTCCGAGTCCGGGATGATTTTCAACGTGCGACTGTCGCGCTCAAGTACTCTGGATGAACCGAGTGGCAAGAAGGCTGAGCCATACCCGAAACAGTTCTTCTGTCCTCTCTCGGCAAGACCAGTCTGGTCGAGGCTAGTAATGACATTACCAATCGGAGAGGCTTTGCGGATGGTAGATGTTCAGGTTATTGGGTCCGGAAATGATCTTCTTCACGCCTCTCCAGGCTCTCCTGTTGGTAAGGATCTGTCGGCGGACGCAGGCTGATGTTCGGTTGGGTTCGTACGAGCTTTTCTGGAGAAGACCGTGCGCCAGGAGAACTGTTCGGACCTCAGTATATATGTGGCGCCGTTTCAACACGCAGAAAGGAATGATTATGATGGTGAATGTATTCTCAATAACGCGAGGGTCGACTGCTAGTACCCGTTTTTATCGTCTCCGTGGCAGTTCATTGGCGGTTCCAATGATTCTAGCGTCAGCACACACTTTTGAGGGTGGGTCTAAATATGTCTCTGTCTTGCCTCGAGGCCTGGCGCCTGACGCTGTAGATCGCCCGTAGATCGCAAGAACGTGATGTACGAGGGATCCCCCGACCTTTTCCTATTTGTAGGCCCAGTGCGGCGCCTTCCCTGAAAATCCGACAGCTTCCTGCTGCTCCGACGGCTTAGCAGCGATGACAGTCGGGGGGCTGCTTCCTTTTGGCATGTTTGCGCAGCACGCTTCTAGGTTGAGGGATCATTTTGATAAAATGAAGCTTGTCATGCGCACCAATTGAATCGTTGATTTCATTTTCAGCTTCACGTATGATATATCGCCACCGAGCGATTCGCAAGTTCCTTGGTGGTGCTTTGTTCTTTATTATTTTTTTTTTGAACGAAAGCAAACGTTGTGGAGCAGGACCTAGTCAAGCGCGTCTATGTCTTACCTTGTTCAACGTCGGATCGCGCTTCTGTATCTCACGTGCCCAGCCATAATCAGAAAATTTCAGTGGGGCTCCAATAGAGGGCTTTCAATTCGCCTTTGTGTACTTTCTTTCTAACTCTCACCTAATAACTGCTTTTGCTCACGGTACAGTGCATTTCTTAAGCTTCTGTCTTTCGTCGTGTCCGCTGCTGCCCGCGACTGACATTGCCCTGCAGATGGACTTGCAAATGTTATCTAGCCTATTCGCCACGACCTTCAATCCAGACCCTAATATACGAAAATCCGCTGAGCTTGAAATTCGCAAGGTTAGCTTCCATTATCCTGCACATCCTTTGGGCGAAAGATCTCCATTAATCACGCCATGTCCAGGTGGGCAACCAGAATGGCATGATTACCGCCCTTCTCCAGATTATCGCCACCGACAGCATCGACCTGTACGTGTTCCTACGCGTTGTTCTTCTCGTTTTTTGTTTACGGTGGCCCTTTTTCCTAGCCCCATTCGCCAGGCCTGTGCAGTGTGGGTCAAAAACCGCGTTTTCACCCACTACTCAAACGACAAAAAAGGCGGCATTTCGCAGACTGATCGCGAAGCATTGCGCTCAAATCTACTCCATCTTATCGCTGCAGCACCTTCGCGGAGCATCGGCCTCCAACTTGCCAACGTACTCAAACTTGTAATTTGTCGCGATTTCCCCCATAAATGGCCCGGACTCCTGGACGAAATTAAGCGGTTGCTGGCGAGCTCAGAAATCAGGGAAGTTCATGCTGGATGTGTGGCGGCGCTCGAAACAGTGAGAGCTTTCAGGTGTGCGATGAAATGAGAGTATATATGCAGTTCGGCTGACTCTGCGACAAACCAGATTCATCCAGAACAATGAAGTCTTACCCAGTGTCATCCCAGAAATCTTCCCTACCCTTGTTAACATCGCATCCCATATGATGCAAACGCCCCCAACCACATCACAAGACATACCCGCCATGCTCCATCTCATCTTGAAGACTTATAAGACGAGTATTGTCATGTCTCTAAGCGCTCATCAGCAGAGCGCCGAGAGTATCGTTCCTTGGGGCCAACTATTCTTTTCTATCGTCAACCTTCAAATACCGAGCGCTGTCGTGCCTGAAGATGAAGAAGAGCGAGAGCGTGCAGAATGGTGGAAAACTAAGAAATGGGCATATGCTATCCTCGGGCGCTTATTCCATCGGTATGTTTCTCCCATTTTATGCTCAACAGGATGTTCATGTCTATGCGCCTCCGTTTCAGCTATGGCAACCCTTCTCAGCTCCCGAGCACGATGCAAAACTATTCCAGATTTGCACATCATTTTGTGACTACGTTTGCCCCGGAGATACTGAACGTCTACTTCCGTCAAGTAGACCTGTTCGTATCGGGACAGGCGTGGTTGTCACAAAAGTGTCAATATCAAATATTTACATTCTTCAGCGAATGGTACGTCTAGTCTCTTAAACTTTTTCGTATGAACATCTGACACCCTTCCAGTGTCAAGCCCAAATCTACATGGGCCCTTCTCAAACCTCATTTTGAGACCCTTGTTTCCTCTTTCGTATTCCCTCAGTTGTCTTTTAATACCACAAAGCAGAATCTATGGGAGAACGACCCGGTTGACTATGTCAGGATCTCAGTTGGTTCGTTTCGATAAGCTTCGATACTTCAGACAGCCTTTGATCAAACGTTGACAGATGAATACGAGAGTTTTGCTACTCCAGTCTCCGCGGCGACCACGTTCTTGTTTGGCCTCGCCACCAACAGAACCAACACTACGTTCCTACCCATTTTGTCGTTCATTAATTCCGTACTTCAATCGTACGTCGGTCTTCTAGATTCACAGCGGTGTACTAAGGTTTACCTCACTAGCAATGCATCTGCGACGCAACGTTTCGGCGCGCTGAACATGGCCGCGGCGCTCGGGCCCTGGATGATGAAACATCCTACAGTCAAGGACAATATGGAGACCTTTATAATGCAATACGTGACTCCCCAGTTAAGCAGTCCGGAGCCTTATTTGCGAGCCATTGTATGCGCCGTCCACTATCAAACTCAGTCACACTGATCTAGTTTATTCATAGACATGTGAAGTCATAGGCACTGTGGTGAAGAACCGCCTACAATGGACTAGTGAAGAGGTGAGATTTGTGTTCCTGGAAACCGCTCCAATGCATGATTAATGGCGCTCCGTTCGTTTGCAGCATCTTCATACCAATTTCACTGCCGTCGTCGCTGCGATGGATGACCCGGAATTCCCGGTCAGGGTTCAGGCGTGTCTCGCCCTTACGGAGATGGTGGTCGCCTATGACTCTGGTGGGATTTTTCCAATTCAATTTCCTCCACTCTGGTCTTAATATGGTATATTTTTCTAGTGAAAACTGCCGTAGCACCTCAAGTGAGCAAAGTCATTCAAAGTAGGGTCTCTTTACACATATGATGACAACTATCTGATGATAGTGGACTAGGCCTACTCAAGCTGGCGGACGAGAGTGACCTGGATATCTTGAACCACAGTATGGATGTAATGGTTGATCAATACCAAACGGAGTTACTTCCCGTCGCGGCTCAGTTGACTGAACGATTGGTAAGAGGATGGCGTACAAATTGAGCTGAGTTTTCTTTCTGATTAATGTTGTTTGCAGTGCGATTCTTACCTGCGTTTGGCAAGAGAGACCATCGCCCAGGATTCGGAAGCGGACGGGATGGATCTCGAATCCTTGATGTCCACAGGGGAAGATGACAAGACGTATTACGCTATGGGCATCGCGAAGACAATCTGGACGGTATGGGTTTGTATGTCCATGGGGATTCTGTCCATTCAGCAGATTTCTGTGTGCAGGTCATCAATTCCATAGAGAGTGCGCCCGAAATCCTGGCGCAGGTTCAGGAGATTGTGATTCCCATTGTCACGTTCACATTGGAGAACAAGTTTCTTGGTAAGCCTGTGTCCTTGTAATGTTATGCACTCGGTTTTGAGTCATTATCGGCAGATCTTTTCGACAGCATGTACGAGCTGGTGGACAGCTTGACTTTTAAGCTCCGGGCGATATCTCCGAGCATGTGGCCGGTGTTTGAATTAACATACAAACAGTTCAAATCCGATGCGGTGGATTACCTAGAAGGTAGGTTGTTGTTCAGTCCTTGTAAACCAAAATGTCACGTCAGACCTGCACCAAGAAATGTTGCCTTCTCTGGATAATTTCGTCTCGTTTGGGAGCGAAGTGATTAGGAATCGGGCTGATTACAAGCGGATGCTCGTGGACATCTACACGACCTCGATCGTGAACGAGCATTTGGGTGAAAATGATCGGGTGAACGGATGCAAGCTGGCCGAATCTGTGCTGTTGAACCTGCGCGGAAGCGTTGACGATGTGCGTGCCGCTGTTTACGGAAAACTTACCAGCATTCATTGTTTTTTTTTTTTTTTTCCCTTTAAATAGGCTCTGCAACCGTTCATTATCACTGCCTTGGATCAGCTGGACAAAACGGAGACCCCTGCCCTTCGTCTGGCGAACCTCGAAGTATTGATCAACGCGATTCTATACAATCCCACCGCCACGCTTCACATCATGGAGACGTCCCGACCTGGACTGACGCGTGTGTTTCTGGACAAATGGTTCGCCGCTATCAACTCTGAGAATCAGCTGCCGCGGGTGCATGACAAACGGCTGAGCATCCTTGCGTTGTCTGCGCTAATCGAAATGGACCCGAGCGGTATCCCTGAAAGTGTCCAACAGGGATGGCCAGGCATCCTGGGTGGGATCCTGAAGCTGTTTAGAGACTTTCCCAAGGCTGTCGAAGGTGTGTGTGTTTTTTTTTCCCCTTGTTTTTGAGAAAGGTGAAATGATGAGGTAATCATTGTTGTTGTAGCGCGTAAGGCTCTGGAAGAAGCTCTTCAGGAAGATGAAGATGAGGATGATGTTTATGACGAGAAGTCCCTGAACCTGAACGAAGATGATGGTGGGATCTCCCCCTGCAAGCGTTTTTATCAACTGATGTGAATTCATTTTATTTAGAGGACGTCTGGGATGAAGATTCAGCGTATCTGGAAATGTTGGCTAAAGAGGTGAGTTGAATTGATAAATTCAGGTCCCCTTTCTGATGTGTTGGCCTCTCTTCCCTCGTGTTTCAGGGCGCCCGATTGAGGGAGAGATCTGCTGGAGAGGAAGAGTACGACGATGAGGAGGATGAGGATATCGAGGAGGAGTTGGGGTACTATAGTCCGTTGGATAACGTCAATCCGTATGTTTCGTTCCAGCAAGCTCTGACTGGTGAGTTTCTTTTTTTCCTTTTTCTTTTTTAATAGTATTAATTCTGATGTGATTTGTGATAATTAATAGCGTTCCAAATGAAAAGTGGCAATGTGTATCAGGCAGCCACGACGTCTTTGACGGTAGAACAACAGACGGTGCTGATGGAGGTGATGAAAGTGGCGGATGCGGTATCGAAATGAGATGCCGTGGGCGTTGGGTGGTTTAATCACATGCACACATGTTGGGGTTTTTTGTCCAATAGACTTTTTGTATTTCCATAAGATAGCGGAGGGGAGAAAACACCGGTTATTAATATAAAGTGAGGGAGAAATTCTAGAAGAACAAGGGAAGGGGGGTTCATTCATTTCTTTCTCGCGGTGCCTGTCTTGCTCTTCGATCGACCTTGTTTTTCTTTTTCCTTTTCCTTTTCTTTTTCCTCCCCTGCTGATACCCTCCACTTTCTCCGGGTGGCGTTGCTCCCGCTTTCGAGGTACTCTTGTCTTGTGACCACAGAGTCTTTGTATGCTGGGGTGGAGACGAAGCGCATGGCGGCGTCGTAGGGGGCGGTTATAGGGCTATAGAATTAATAATCGTAAGAAAGAAAGAAAAGAATATTGCAGGGGCAGGGAGGGAAATACGCAACTCGGGGTATTCGTATACCTGCACGTCGTGTTCCACCGGCGCGAGTGGGCGGAGATCCGCTAGCCTACGAGGTTGTCAGCATGAGTTTTTTTTTTTTTACCAAGCCAAAGCGCCAAAGACAGACAGTCGTTCGCGAAACCCAGGAAACTTGGTGTTCCCGCCTATGAGAGCGATGTTCGCCCAGAACATGCCTTGGAGGTCTTCCGGGAGGAGCGAGATGGAGTGGGCGATGGTCCCTGCGAGGCCTACTTGGTTTAGGCCGATGTCGTCAGGGCGGAAGATGATCTCTGGGACGCTGAACCGCTCGTTGTTCATTACGAGGATCTGGCTGCTGCCGCTGCTCGTAGAGTCTCCTGGCTGGCGCAAGCGGCCCTCTGCTAGGGCGTACTCCTGCGTGAGGGGGTTGGGGCTGCGGGCGGAGCGGGCGGTGTGGAGGTCGCGCGCAAAGTCGGAAGAGACGAAGCAGCATGATTCCTTGATGTGGTTCGTGATGTGTGTTTGGTCCATCATGTTCCATTGGCGGAAGGAGATGAGGTGCTTGAGGTGGTTCGTGAGGAGCTTGCCGCCGATGGAGAGGCGCGTGAGGGCGCGCGAGTGGGGGCGGCCGTGGATGAGGGGGACGGCGTGAGTGAAGCTGAAGCCGGAGTCGACGATTAGGGTGCAGTCTGGGGATGGGGTGGTGGTGGTGGTGGTGGTGGGGAAGAGGTGCGGGATGAGGGAGGCGGGTGTGCAGCGGTAGTACGAGGCGAATTGGTATTCTTCAAAGATGAATTGGTCATAGACTTGTTGGATGTTGGGCAGGTTGTGGTACGGCTCTGTGAGGAGGAGCGAGGATTGGGTGGTGTCGATGCCGAGGACGTCGGTGGAGAAGAGGCCGTCCCAGATGGCTTTTTGGGCGTCCCAGTCTACGATGAGGCCCTTTTTTGTGGGTTGTTAGTTGGCGGTCACTGGGGGTGGGTGCATACCTTGGAGATGGGGAGGCGGTAGCTGAGGGAGGCGTGGTCTGTGCACTGAAGGAGTTCGTGTCCAAAGTAGGTTGTGCTTTTTGATTTGGAGCGGGCGATGGCGTTGGGGATGAGTTGGGCGGGAGTGTCGGTGCCGCCGATGCCGGCCTTGATGGTGTGCCCGCCGTTATCGAGTACGATGGTTGGGGTCATGGGGCGTGGGAACTCTGATTATGTGTATCGCTTTCTGGACTCTCGACCATCCGGATTACGCTCTGTGCGTGTTCCCTTCCTTCTTCTTCTTCTTCTTCTCTAGGCCCTAATAGAATCCCAGGATTCTGTGCACCAACCGCGATGAATTCCTCGATCGACCTACTCTTGATGCTCGTTTCCATTCTTTCGGGCACGATGGCGCTGATGGTGATGTCCTCTCAGGGATCGACGTCCTCGGCGGCGGGACGTGGTTTGGCGTGACTCGCGCTGGGAGGATCGCCCTGTTGACGAATATCACGGAGCCGCCGCCTGCGCAGAGCTTCGAGTCCCGGGGCGCACTTGTCTCAGCGCATTTGTTGGGCGAGGTGATTCCCCGGGATACGAGGTTTGCGGGGTTCAATATGCTGCGTCTTGTCCCGAGGTGGGAGGAGGAGGAGGGGGGGAGGCTCGCCTTTGACGGGGTGTTTGTGTCGAATGCGGGGGCGGGCGGGATGGTTGAGGAGCGGGGCCTCCGGGAGGGCCAGGGCGGGTTCTCGAATGCTGTTGATGGGGAGGGGGAGGAGTGGGACAAGGTGAGGGAGGGTAAGCAAGAGTTTGCGAGGATCCTCGAGAGTGGGGGGGATCTCGTCGAGGGGTTGTTTCGTTTGCTCGGGTGGGTTTCTTGGGTTTTTTGGGCAAGTCACTGTTTTTTTCTCATTTCGTCACTCAGTGAGCACCCGTCTGAACGCGTCGTGCACCGTTCTGAGCTCAAGAAGGCTATCCAAGTCGTGCCCATGTTGATAGAGGGAAGGATGTACGCTACCCGCTTGTCGACGGTCGTGCTCGTCGGCAGGGACGGGAGCGTGCTCTTTGTTGAGCGGGATATATGGAAGCCAGATGGGACAAAGGCAAGTCCCGGTTCACAACGGCTCTATCGCTTCCAATTGGATGTAATTCTATAAATCCTGTATCCAAAATATATATATAATCGTAATCGCATGCGTGAAAAAAAAAAAAACACAACATTGAGGGGGATATACTCGCAAGTCCAATGTACGTTACAACGAGTCCAAGATGTAGCTAGCTAAAAACATTCAAAGACGTCCATTCGTTCAGGTAATGATATGGTTATACATTCCCCCGTGTTCATTGGACTGCATGGGAAAGTAGGGGTTGTAGTTGGGCGTCGACATGGTGTTCCATTCGTGCGGTGATACCCCGCCTGGGGGGGAGCTGTTGTGGAACGGCGGTCCGCCGTGTGTGCTGCTCGACGCCGATAGAGGTGTCAGGATCTCGCTGTCCGTCGGGGTATTGCTATCGTACGTCGGGCCTTCTGGTTCGTTGGTCCTAAACCTGAGTCACCAATAAGCCATAACGAAAGAGAAATATATATATAAAGGAAAGCGGAGCTTACTGCATGAGGTTATGAAGCTCTGCGATGCGCCGGTAGAGCAGGCAGGGCGTGTTGGCGGGATGGGTGCTGTATTGCCGGAGGGCAGTGAGCGTGCTCTGGAGTTGGTGCGAGAGGTTCATGTATGTGTGGCTCGCCCCGGGGCTGGTCCGGCATGAGCAGTAGGGATGATCCCCCGCTGCCCCGTCGTACCGGTCACCACGAGCGTAGTCTCCCCCATCAGAGTACCCGTTCCCATTCCCGTTCCCGTTCCCATACCCCGACCCGGGCGAAGAGTGGTAGGACCCGCTCCCGGCGCCGTTGCTGTACTCGGACAGATTCTGGTGGTACCTCATCGAGGGCGGGGCGGGGGCAGGAGGGGAGGGCGAGAAGCGGTAGAGCGTCGTTGAGGACGTTGGGGCGGACCCCCCGTCTGGGGGTGCTTCTGTTTTGATGGATGGAGATGGGGCGCGCCGTTTGGCGGAGAGGGGGGCGCATTTCGTTGCTCGGGAGTGCCATTTTTCGTTGGGGTCACCATCCCGGAAGGAGCTGTCGGCCCAGCGCGGGTGGGGTTTGCCTGGGAGGACGTGTTAGTAAGTGGAAGGAGGTCGAGGAGGAGGAAGAGCTGGAGGATACCTCGGAGTTCTCGGACGAGGCTCTCAAGTTCAGCGATTCTGTTTCGGAGTCGTGTTGTTTCGTCCACAGAGGGATCGTCTCTGCGATTGAATTATACGGTCAGTGGCGGGTAATAAATAGGACGAGGTCTCGAACACTCACCTCAAGGCGGGGTCATCAATCTCGTACACACACAGTCCGGTCTGGACGAATATATAAATAAGAAATCAACGCGACCGACAGACAACGAAAGCCCCGCGCACCAAGCCCAGCTGTATACATCTCTGACACGGTCTTTTCCGATCACACTGACACAAAATAATAATAATAATCAGCACCCGTAACACCCTCCGTACGACGGGACAGACACACCTTGCGTTTTGACGTGTGGCAGTTGAGACAACTCTGAGTCGTCCGGTTCCGTCTTCTCTTTCTGTAACGTCCATCTCAGTGAGTGGGAGCACGGGCATCGAGGGTTGGGGTGGGGGGAGGGGACACGCACCGGTGGTCAGTGTCGATAGTAAACTCGAGATCCATAACTTCTCCCTTGAGCTGCAATGGCTGAAAAGGATCCATGGACACAGTAGTAGAGAGGAGGAGAAGAGGAAAAAAAAAGAAAAGGTCCAGAAAGGAACACACTCGAGGAATTGTCTTTAAGAGGGTCCCGGCGCCATTAAGTAAAGATCCCATAGTTCGAGATGGCGAACCAAACCGCCTCGCTCGACGAGAAGGGAAGGTCCATTCCGAATACGTGGGTTTGCCCTGAAAATCAAATACTCCTCCCCCCTCCTCCACCCCCTCCAACCCTCCTCCGGCCGTGTTCCCCCTCCGGCGTTCTAGGAAGCAACCATCCCCGTGAGGAGTTGAATTGCCGATAATAATAATATTATTATTTATATTTACGTAAGACGATGCGCAAATTATCCGCGGGGGACGGCTCTCTCTCTCCCGTAGTAGATCTGCGTAGTAGCGTGACAGTGACCTCCCTCGCCCACGTGTTTCATCGTCATCCCTTCCTTGCATCCATTTTGCCCTTTTTTTTTTTTTTACATTGCATTACATTTCCATTGACATGGAGCTGTCATCACCAGTTGATGATTCGGATAGCGCAGGCGTAGAGTCTGAGCCGATCCCTGGGCTGAATGGGGTTCCCGTACGATGTGAGCCTGAGCCTGCCCCTCCCCACCGTTGTTTGAATTGAGGCTGATGGTCCATAGGGTACGATGTACGTTCCTTCCCTTCCTCTCCTCCCCGTTGCTCGAACCCGAACCCGAACCCGACCCGAACCTGTATAGGCAGATCGCACAGAACCCTACACGCGGATCACCCCCTTCCAAGAACGGCATGATACCAGCGTCGAGTACGTACCCTCACCATAAACTTTTTGACGCCCCGAGTCGGGTCGGGAAAGCTCACTCGTAACGAAATTTCAGATTCTTCTACAAACCCATAACACTCTCCGCCCTCGCCCTAGGCCTCGCCCTCCTCGCATACGTAGCGACCACCCAATCCGTCCTCGAAGAAGGCCGCGACAAACGACGCGTGTAAGCTCCCCCCCTACCCTCCCCCTCCCCCTTCCTTCCCCTCTCACACCCTCCCCCCCCATAATAGCGGCGCCTATGCCTCCCTCCTCTCCTTCCTCATGTTCTCCATCCTCCAGTTCCGCGATGGCCCCTTCATCCGGCCCCACCCCGCCTTCTGGCGCATGGTCCTCGGCATCAACCTCCTGTACGAGTTGGCCCTGGTCTTTTTGCTCTTCCAGGATCTGGACTCGGCGAGGGGGATGATGAGAGAGTTGGACCCCGCCTTGGGCGTGCCCTTGCCGGAGAAGAGCTATGCGGAGGATTGTACGCTTAGCTGGGGGGTCGTTTGGGTGGGTGGCGCTCCTTAATTCGTTTTTGGGTGAGAACTTGATTTTTTTTTTTTTTTTTTTTTCATGAGGTTAGAATGCGCTCGACGTGTTTTGTGTTGCCCATACGCTCGGTTGGTTCGGCAAGGCGATGATTTTGAGGGATTATTGGTTTTGTTGGGTGCGTCGAGTTTTTTTTTTTTTTGGGTTCGTTGGGTCTTGGTTTTGAATTCCCCGAGTTGGTAGATCCTGAGTATCGCGTTCGAGCTGGCAGAGTATAGCTTACAGCACCAGCTCGCTAATTTTGCAGAGGTCAGTGCCGTCCTTGGCGCCTTTAGTTTCTCCTGAGACAATTGTCCGCTTTTAGTGTTGGTGGGACCATGTATGTTCAAACGAAACACAAACTTGCTCGTTATTGACTTGCGTATTCCCCAAAGTGGATCTTGGACGTGCTAATCTGCAATTGGATTGGCACCTACCTCGGTAAGCACCCCTTCCCCTCCCCCTCTTCTCCTTTCCGTCCTTCCTTTCCTTCTTGGCTGATCTCCTTTCCAAGGAATGAAAGTTTGCCAGTATTTGGAAGTCAAGGTACCCTCCCCTCCCCCTTCCCTACGAGACCCACTCATCCATCCGAGCTTCTTAACCTTTCGTTTCCTTTCCTTAGCCTTACGAATGGCGTGGCCTACGCCAACACCGGGGCCTCCGCTCCAAGGCTCGACGCGTCCTAAGCCAGTTCTCGCCCCACGACTTTACGGCTTTCAAATGGGGAACGGCATCTTCGTTTATGCACTATATCAGTGTGGTGCTCCTTCTGGCTGTTTTCCTCGCAGCGGAGCTAAACCCGTTTTATCTCAAGGTACGCTTGAGTGGGATGATGATGATGATGGGGGGGTTGGGTGATTTTGTTGATTAAGCCCGCGTTATTAGACTCTCTTGTGGATGGAGCCTGATCATCCTATCGTCATTATGAGGTTGGCGTTTGTGTTCTTGTGTGCGCTTCCTGCGGTGAGGGAGCTGTATCAGTATATTAATGATCCGAGGTGTGTGTTCTTGTTGTTGCCATCCTCTCATGTTGAATGGGAGGCGGTGTCATAGAAAAGCTGTGAGGATGGGCCAACACGTCTGGCTCCTCCTGGCGACTATCCTTACCGAGATCCTTGTCATCAGGAAGTGGAGCGTGGGCGTGTTCACTGAGCCGTTCCCGGCGAGGGTCAAATGGGGCTTGGGTACCGGCGCGGTGCTGTTGGTGCTGTATCCGGTTGTGCAGGTGAGAAAGAGGAATCATTACGTCTTTATTTTTTGTATATTGATGATGGTGGTGATGCTAGTTTGGTATTCCGAGTGCCAGGAGGTACGTTCGTAAAGAGAAGAGGAAGGCGAGGGGCAGGCCAGGGTTGAAGATAGAGTGAATTGCGAAGCGCGTTCTGGGTTGTAATCTAAGTTTGATAACGGTGGATTGTATTGATACGGTTCTGGTTGTAATTGATATCTAGGGTAATTGATTAAGGACTTGCCATCGAGATTGGGGGGTTGACGCCATCAGTGCTCTCCGCCTTTTATGGGCGACCAGAGGTGGGAGACGGTTTTTGAGCGGGGAAGGGGGAGTAAGGTTTATTTGTGTGGATTGGGGGATTGTGACAAACATGGGGCATAGCTTTCTTTGCTATGTCATCACTTTCGGTGTTTCCGAGTCCGCCATTAACGATCACCACCACGACCACCAACAACTACTACTACAACTACTACAACTATGCCTCGCGCCGAAGGTAAGCTTTCTACCGAACAATAATTCATCAACATGCTCAACTGAGCCGCAGTCGGAACCCCGAAGTACCTGGCGAACAAGATGAAGTCCAAGGGACTTCAAAGACTCCGATGGTACTGCCAAGTGTGCGAGAAACAATGCCGCGACGAGAACGGTTTTAAGTGCCACGCCGCCTCTGAGAGCCACCTCCGCCAGATGCTTGTCGTCGGCGAGCACGCGGGGAGACACATCTCGAATTTCTCCGGCGAGTTTCAGTCCGAGTTCGTTGCGCTGCTTTCGAGAAGGTCGGGTTAATCTATCCTATCCTATCCTATATCTATGTTTTTTTAAAAAAAACCGACGGGGCTTTTTTTTTTTAGGTTCGGGACGAAACGAGTGCGAGCGAACCAAGTGTACCAAGAGTACATTTCTGACAAGCACCATGTGCATATGAACTCTACGCGGTGGGTGACGTTGACGGAGTTTGTGAAGCATCTTGGGAGGACTGGTGTTGCGCGGGTGGACGAGACTGGGAAGGGGTGGTTTATCGCGTGGGTGGATAATAGTCCGAAGGCGCTGGCGAAGGCTGAGGCGTCGATGAAGAAGGAGCGGGCGACGGTTTCGGATGAGCAGCGGGAGAGGATGCTTATTGCTGAGCAGATTGAACGGGCTAGGGGGGAGGCTGGGGAGGAGGAGGATAAGGGGGAGGACAGGGGGGAGGAGGAAAGGGTGTTGTTGAAGAGGGACGAGGGGGCGGAGAAGCTGACGATTTCGTTTTCGAAGCCTGGAGTGGAATCGTCGTCATCGACCCCTGGTGCCATAAAGATGAATGTGAATCCGTTGAAAGGTGGTGCCGTCAAAGCGAACCCGTTGAAGCGACCGAATGTTTTCAAGGGAGCTTCAGTAAGTTCAAGCTCCGGGGCGCAGAAGCGAAGTGCACCACCACCACCACCCATGACGGCAGCGGAGAGGTTGATATTGGAAGAGCAGGATAGAAAGAGGCGGAAGATGGAGCGGGAGAATGCTTAGAGGCCGACCCATTGTATAACGTTCTTTTGTAATTCATTTCAGTTGCTTTCGACTCCCATACCGGCCTTGAGCTCGAACTTGGAACTTCACACCCATTCATAGGAAGAAACTGGTGCAGGGCGGTCTCGCCTGATGGCCATGAAACGCTTCGAATGCAATAAAAATTGATTTTCCCGCGAACGTTTACTACAAGTACTTGGAAAAAAAAAAAAAGTGAGCTCCGTCTCGGCGATATAGCGGCGCCGGCAAGGCGTGTTCACTGACTGCTTTGGGGGTAACGTTGGGAAGTTGTGGCGCATCAGTTTAGTATCGTAATCTTCTTTCCGCAAGGGAAGGGATGGGGGATGTTTGAACCGAGAGTATGGTACACCTTCCTCGAAGTTGAAAAGCTGTAGATCGTTACCCGATGAGCCGTTTGTCTAGAGCGTCAAGCTAAAACATCGGGATACAGAGACCGAATTCGGGCATAACCGCCAGCTCGCTCATCAGTCTCTGCTGCGCAACCCCCCAATAACGAAAAAGGCAATGTAATCGAAGAACTCACTCAACAGGAGCTTCGAGTTGACAACTGAATACGCCAGGAGGTTGAGACAAGGTAAAAAAAAAAAAAGGGATCGGCGTTCCAAGGCCGCAATACGGCTAAGACATCCCTTTCCGACCACGTTCCGCAAAGGCACGCGAAATTATTATCAACAATGGGTTAGGGATCGCGGCGCGGGCTGTACACCCGACCACCACGACCATGGCGCACTACCACAATGTGTCCACGCACGACGATGATTTGGACTCTCCCTTTGCGACACCGACGACGCGTAGCACACCCATAGCTGGGACGAGTGGTAGTAATTCCGAGGATGAGCTCATCGACATGGTATGCGTCTCTTGGGTTGAGTGCCCTAAAAATTTCTCTCAACCCCTCTCTAAAGTATGGTACCAAGGAGGCGCCTGTCGCCTCTGCGATGAGCGCAACCCAACGACGACAGCTTCTGACAGAGCGACGGAACCTCAAGAACGCAAAACACCGAAAATCGGTTGTCTCTGCCCATATCACGCACGTTAACCCGCTAGCGACGTCCCGAAGAAAAAAGATCCTCATCATTTCTTTGTGCGTGCTCGCAGTGGTTGTCATCGCCGTTGCTGTTCCTGTCGCGACCGTCTTGATCAAGAAGAAGGGTCATGGTTCCAGTTCGAGCTCGAACGGATCCTCAGGAGGGGGGCCAGGTTCCGGAAATACCGCAACGTCGGGCACTACGGGAAGTTTGATAACTATGAGCGATGGCACCACGTTCACGTACACGAACACGTTTGGCGGTGATTGGGCTGAAGATCCCACGAGTCCGTTTACTTCTGGTGGCAAGGCCCAAAATTGGAGTAAGCGTATCGGTTCGGAAGACTGGGTCTGGGGCGAGGACGTGGCTCGTGGCGTCAACCTAGGGTGAGGGAGCTTTTTGGTTGTCGTTTCATACAAAGACGCTAATTTGTTATTTCTTTTTTTCTTTCTTTTTCTTTTTTAGTGGATGGCTAGGTTCGCATGCATCGCCTGTCGGCATTCCCCCCCCCCTGAATTTGATTTCGCTGACGTCTTTTTTCTAGTGACAGAGCCTTTCATTTGCCCCAGTCTTTACGAAAAATACGTGAATAAGACTGATATTTTCGTTGTTGATGAGTGGACCCTGGCTCTTGCCATGGACAAGAATCTGGCATCAGAAATGGAGGACCATTACAAGACGTTCATTGTGAGATGATAACCCGCTTCCTCCGTGTCCGGTTTCCTCGTGATCCTGACCCTGTTTGTACCTTCAACAGACCGAACAGGACTTTGCAGATATCGCGGGTACGTTTTTCGACAGTTGCCCAAACCGGATAGGGCTTCTTTTTCTTTTTTGCTCATGGCTTGGCTGGCCCCCCTGTTTAGGTGCCGGTTTGAACTGGGTTCGAATACCCATCGGGTTTTGGGTTAGTCTCCCCTTATTGGCAGCGCTTTTTTTCTCATGAGGGCTAATCCTATTGCTATTTGCTAGGCAATTGAGACCATTGGCGATGAGCCGTTTCTCGTTGGCACCTCATGGTCCTATTTCCTCAAGGCGTAAGTTGATGATCGAGTTCAGCCGGGCCTTCTGACCTAGTTCTTCAGTATCGAATGGGGCAGGAAGTATGGCATCCGCATCTTCCTTGACCTGCACGCCCTCCCTGGAAGTCAAAACGGTTGGGTCTGTGTCTATCAACCGTGTCCTGGCTGTTCTTGCGTGACTGACTCACTTGCTCGTACCTTTTTTGTTTTTTTCCACAGAACCATTCTGGTAAAAGTGAATATCCCTTTTCGTATACGTATTATCAATTCGAACTAATCAACTGCATCTCCATCAACAAGGCGGCTCCGTCAACTTGTAAGATCTATCTTTCTTCTACCGCCGTTCCACTGATTCATTTCTCGGCCTGTCCTTTAGTATGGTTCGTCGGGAACATTCTATTCGTACCCTCCATAACTGTCTGACCTTTCAAACAGAATGGTGTTATGGGAATAGCCAACGCCGAGCGGACGCTCACCTATCTCCGAATCCTTACAGAGTTCGTCAGCCAAGATCAGTACCGTGACGTTGTAGGAATGTACGTGTATTCCCGCGGGGCTTCTTGATGGTTCTCTCGTCTCACTCACACACGCACAGTGTGGGCATCGTCAACGAAATCCTCTGGGCAACTATCGGACAAACTTCCGTACAAAGTTTCTATTATGCGGCATACGAAGCCATCAGAACTTCAACGTGCGGGATTCCATTCCCTATGTCCTCATTTCTGCAGTATCGTTAAACTTCATTCGTCAGTGGCATTGGGTCCGGAGCTGGACCCTATATCGCAATTCATGAAGGATTCCAGGGGGTGAGTCGTATCTTTTATTACGGGGGTACCGGACCATGACGTTTTCATCTTGATTCATAGGTCGCCATCTGGGAAGGGTGCGTGTGATGATGATTCCGGTGTCGGCGCTTTGCCCAATTCCTTCTTGTGCTGATACAGATTCCTATCTGGTGCCGACCGTATCGCATTAGATCAACATCCTGTACGTCCTGTCACTTTTATCCTTCGTCCTGCCCCCGCCTGACGTCTTTCGTTCGCTTTCATGTAGTACTTGGCGTTCACTGGCGATCACACCAGCTCGTGAGTTCATTTCAATTCCTTATGAGTAGATGACACGTCAACATGTCACGTCTTGCCGTTAGCGTTGATCAGTTGGCACTCAAACCGTGGTATGTGTTCTTACTCCCTCGGCAATGGGATCTTGTGATGTTCACCTAAAATTAATGTCCGTCCCTAGTGCCTGGGCAATCGCTACAAACCAGTCTTCGAAAGCTTTCGGTGTCACTTTAGGCGGAGAGTGGTCTACTGCAGTGAACGACTGTGGCCTGTGGTAGGTACCCTCATTCCTTATCGATATCTCACACTCCACCTCCGTAATTGAATCTTGATCGGTTTCTCATCCCGTGCCATTCTCTCTCAGGCTCAACGGAATTGGTTCTACACCTGGCTATCCGGACTGTACCATTTGGGATGACTGGGCTGTACGTGATCCTTTCCCTTCGTACTTCCTAACTCAGCAGAAGCTAACCCGTTCCGCGACAGTCGTATAACGCCAGCACCATTGCAGGCATCAAGAACGTAGCTTTAGCATCCATGGACGCGCTCCAGAATTTCTTCTTCTGGACGTGGAAGATCGGGAACTCCACCCAGCTAGGGACGTCTTCCAGCCCCCTTTGGCATTACCAACTGGGTCTCCAACAAGGATGGGTTCCAAAAGGTAAAGTAGCACATCTACAAGTCCCGCGTCGAGAGCTCAGTTTTCTTTTCCCTTGTGCTAATTATAGATCCACGGGAAGCCATCGGCCACTGTGCAAGTGTTCTCAGTTCATCTCAGATATTCGATGGGAGCTATCCCGCAACAGCAACCGGTGGGGTGGGTCTTGACGGTTCCGTTCCCGTCATTTTGTTCCCATAAAGCTGATTTGTTCGTTTTTCTCTCTCTCTAGTCAGGCGCAGGTACCGTTGAAGCTGCACAGACGTCGTCACATGTGTTCCCTCCGCCTTCTCTGGCCCCGTCCTTCTCACCCTCGCAGATGTCCCTCCTCCCGACGTATACCCCGACGGGATCGATAAAGACGCTGTTTGCACCGACTTTTACCGCTGCCCCGAAGGCGACGGTGGGTACCGGCTGGAATAACTCCGCCGACACGCAGTTGGCTTATGTGTAAGTGATTTCTGGCGCCCCCCCCCCCCTTCGTTTTACATTTTCGGCTATCTTATACTGAACGCCGGTTGACGTTTTCTGTGTAGAACTGTCGCGGGATGCTCGTATCCTGAGTGAGTTGTTCGACATATTTGTCCCTCCCTTCCATTGGCTAATGCTGTGCTTGCAGCCCATGGAACGCGGTCAACGCCACGCTCCCTACTGCTACTTGTACGGGGTCATAAGTACCCGAACATTTTTTTTGTTCCTTCTTAGTGTTATACTGTTGTACCGACTGAACCCTGAGACTCGTTTATTCTTGGACTTTATTGTTTTGACATCTTACGCGGACTCTCATATAGATAGGTGTACATATAGTATTATGGAACTGTCTTTTTTACACACTAGAGTACATATTAGAAGAATAAGTCTTCTGAATCGATAATGACCAGAGCCGAACGCTTCCTCGGACGGGCCCTACTGTAAGCCGAACCAAAGGACGACCATCATGTAGGCACAGCCCGCGATCGACACGCATCGCAAACCTGTCAAAATTCTGGATTGTGTCGTCCATGCGTTGTACACGTCGTTGGAATTTCTGACGAACATGCAGAATTCTTTCCCCGGAAGAGAGACATCATACGTGCGCTCCTCGTAGTATCTGATTAGCGACGGGGCTGCGATAGCCGATAAACACGTTTTTAGTAAGTAAATAAATGGAGAAATGGGGGAAGGGAAGGAGAGGATCGCTCACACCGAAGACGACTGTGAAACAGATAGAGCAAGTGGTACGTGATGGCGAAGAAGATTTCCCGGAGGAGAACGACACCCGTTAAAAGGATGTCGGGCCCGATGAATATGGTGCAGAAAATTAATAAGTACAGCCAAGGAAGCCGTTTGACTGGTACATGAAACCATGAGGAAAAAAGCCAAGTATGTATATGGGGGAAAAAAAAAAACTCTGCCGTACTGTGCTGATCAAGGGACACGGCGACCTGGTACGGAAAATCCGCGGGTCTCTGGAAGAGGCGGCCAAGTTGCTCATCTGTGTGTGTGTGCGGTATGCGAAAAACAGTCGAAGAGAGAAAGAGCGCGAAATGCGTACAGGTGTAATCCACCGGATGCTCCGTGAACGCCTTGAGCACGCCAAGTAAAGAAGATTCTGTTGCGTATGATAAACTCGCAAGTCGGGCTTGGAGATGGAGGTGCACGCACGAAAATAGACGCACAGCGCTGTTAGAATGGTGAATGTCAGGGACTTGGCTGTTGTGTTCATGGAGACAAGGGGATGAGGTATTTATGCTTGTTCCGTACATTTCGATGGGCCTCATCGCATGCTCGTGGTCGGCTGCAGCTTATGATGTCACAGCACGCAAATCAGAAGCCACCTTCTCGGCGGAGGATTTTGTTATTATTACACGACAAATGACGTCTAAACTACCTGCCAAACGGCCGCTTAGCATTCATGATTTGGGCAGTAGAAAATGGTTGTACTCACAGTCAACTTATTCTCGCTGTATTAGCGCCAAGAGCCCAAGGCCTCCTAATAGAGCGTATTTGAGCTGGGGGAAATCATTCTAGAGAGACATTTAGCGCGAGCCCTGAGAGCGTAAAACCAAGGACAACGAACCATCGCTATCGTGACATATCCAATGTACGGTAAAAACCTGACAATATGGAGTCAACACAAAAAACCACCCAAAGGAGAGACCGACATACCCTCTAACTTTCCCCACAATATGCTTCCTCTCCAACCATTCCAGTCCTTGATACAAATCAATGTCGTCCACGTAATTGTTGTCCCCCTTGGTCAGCAGATATTGTTTCGCCAGACTAAACAGAACCCCCAAATTTAATCAGCCCTGGCCCATACGCCCTACAGATTCCTAGAAACGCACGTAGAATTATCATTCAGCAGAAAATCATGTGTCTCCAACACCCGGTGGACGATCGGGATATCCGCCCCAGGGATCTTGTAAACCGTGATATCTCCCGTATGGTATCTCTCATGTACGGGGTTGGTAAGGAATAGTAGATCGCCGCGGTAGAAGGCTGGTTCCATCGAGCCACTGTTTACACGTCAGTTGCACGTCGCTTCACAGGCTGGGGCTAGCGATCACGCACCTCAGCACCACGACAATGGGTGACTCTGAGTTTGTAATGAGTCCCAGGCCCTTCCATATCATGAGTCCCGAGGCGATGACAGTCGCGAAATTGAGGCATTGGAGAAGGAGCTAAATGCAGCCGTAGGTAAGGAAAGAGTACGCAGAACATGCAGCATCATGCATACATGGCGAAATCCAAGTCTTCGAAAGGTTTTCAGTTCTTCAGTAAACATTGTTGGGCAAATCGGACACGTTGGTCCCCCCCGTAGGTGAATTTGGTGAAGTGACACGTCGATTGTCAGTTGTTGTTTGGGAGCTTCCGCTGTGGCTGTGTTGTTGACGCGTACATATGGACCTACTCAATGAACAATGGGCATCAGCAAAAGAAGTATATTATCTACAAACAGTCCATCGGTACGTGTATAATATTCCCTCCCTGCTCCCTCAAAATTTGGGCGAGTCACCTGTGACCGTCTCCCATGCCGGTCCCGATGGTAAATCCCACTCCTCATAACAATCATATACCCAATCAACCTTATCAATCAGCTCCTTCTGCGCCGCCACAAACGTCTCCACCGGGCACATACCATCCTCCTGGTCAGGACACCCCTTGATCCCAGTAAGCGGTACGACCCCATCGTTGATAATGATACGGATTTGCTGCCCCGGAACCGACGTACATTCCAATACTAAGTTACGTTAGGACCGTTGATGATATGAAAGAAGAAGTATTCATACACTGGAATTGAATGTTCGTGGCAAACGGAGCCAGCTCGGATACCTTGAATGACCGGTTTTCGGGTATATGGTCGTACGGGAGCGGTCCAGTGGCTGCTAAGGTTGTCAAGTTCAATGCGGTGATGACTGGTCAAATAAAAGTGAAAAGATCCGGTGAATTAGTCTACATTCCCAGAATAGCGATGCACGGAACTTACTGTTCAAAACCACCACTTCATGTGTAGCATCCACATACAAACTGTTCCCAAAGGGGAACATCGTAGGGTCATCGTCCAGCGTGGCGTTCGTCGAGAACCTATGTTCCTTGATGCGTTCCTGCGTGAGCCGAGCCACGAGCTCCTGGACGTACCCAGTGCCCTGAACACGGGCAACAGGAGATCCGAACGCGGAGTTATACCAGAAACTCAGGTCCAGGCTGCCGAGAAAGACGACGTCAGTATGATAACAGGGAAGACCAAAGACAGGAACCCTACGCATAATCGAAGCCTTCCCATTCTTCTTCCGTAAACAGGGTGCAGAATTGCGAATACCCCAGCGCCACTGTCTGGACATATTTTCAGTACGCGGATCCTTTGCGACGGGATCAGATGCGCACCTCGTATGCACACATCTGCTGAAGGATATAAGTGTCTTCAATGGTCAAATTATACCCATTGAGTTGACGTTGGAGGCGTTCCCGGGCATTCTTCAGGTAGACTCCAGCCCATTGTTCCACGTACCACTTGCCACGATCGCTTCTGGAACTTATCTTGGCGTTCGGACATCTGCAAGGCTGTCAAGACAAGACACTGTAAGACGTACAAATGACATACGTGTCGTACGGGGCCAAAGTGTTGTTGAACTACGAGACAGTCAGACAGTGGGGATCCATGATGACAAGGACTTACTCCAGTTGCTTCGATGGTGATACTTTGCTGATACTGACCTTCGAATGGGTACCCAAAGAAGCCGATAGCAAAGTTCATGGCTGAGTTAAGCATACGATCTCTGCACACAGATAAGACACTGAACCATCACTTTTCGAGGAGCATATTTACTGGGATTCGGTCCGGAAAACAGGAATGGTGTTGGACTCCGTAAAGTTTTTGAGAAGATATCCATACTTGAGTCTCATTGAAATACCCAAATCATCTGGAAGGCGAGATGAGCGGATACGCAAGTATATGACACGGGTCGACTGACAAAGCTGCTGTCTCCCAAAGGGCGTAAGGACTTCTTCACCGAGCTTGTACGTCCTATAAACGAGTACGTTTAGGGCCCCACTTGTATCCGAAAACTACGCACCATTCATTCAAGAATTCCAAGTCTCCAGACGCGCTTAGTCCTGCAGCAGCATCGTGCAACCGTCCCGATAAATTTGCAGGACCACCGTATGACGCTGCGGAGGAACAATGATTAGGTCCATCCGCCACCGGAATAAGATCGTCACTCACCCCACGTAGTCGGATACCTGGCGCCATGTCTATGCAAGAAATGCAGGCCTGTAATCCTACAAGTCTCAGGCGTCTCAGGACTCGAATCTAGCCCAAATGTCTTCTTGTCCACACTATACCACGGCGAGAGGTTGCCCCACTTCTTGAACAAATCAAATGTCTCTGTCTTCTCCTTGTGCGTCATCGCCTGAGGCGCGACGAGCACCGCGGCGCCGCTGTGTATAGGATACGACGGGGCCGTCGCTATTAACGCAGGCTCGACTCCCGTCGGAGTTCCCCCAGCATACCCAACATTGGTGGGGAAGAGAGATGGGAAAGCGTTCGTTGGCGTGGCTGGTGGGAAAATGTCCCGTTCCGTCGAGCCGACATAAGGAGGCGCCAGGATGATAGCATCGTCGTAGCTGCCCATCGCGCTCCCGGCTACACCATCAGAGAAACAGGTTGTCCCGCATATCGCATATTGAGCAAAGAAACAGCCTAGGGATCCAGCCAGAAAGGCAATGGCAAGATGTAGTAGAGTGAAATGGGGATCGGTGTAGAATGAGGATGTCGGCTGGTATATCGGGCTCCTGGGCCACTCCTCTTGAGAGTGGGGAGATGACAGCGCCTCACCCTCTATTGGATCATACTCCTTCACGCCGCGTTCGACGTCCATCGTGGTCAGGAGGTAGGGCGTCTCTCGCACGTGACGAACGTGCGCCTCATATAGGGTGCTCAAGATTGGCTCATCGTCCGAGTGTGTCAAATTTGTACAAAGCCAGTCTGTACATTACATGTACAAATTATATATACAGGTACCAGTCAGGCTATGATCATAGTAGGAATCTCCCCCAGGCGAAGTTTCGCAGCGCCAAATGGGACAAGCTTGACGGCGAAGGTGTCGCTGGCGCAAGCGTTTGGACTTTGAGGGGGAGAGGCAGCCGTTCCATTAGAAATTTCCCAGTCGATTTGGCATGCCGTCGCTGGAGGGGAAGCACTTGATTAGCATGAAAGAAGGCGGGCGGATGGGCAACAAACCACTCATGGTGATAGGCTGAGAACCGGGTGACCAGACGTAGAATGGCAAGTTCGAAACCTTGGACGAACGATCAACGATCTCAATGGTGGAAGGATCAATAGCGAGACGCCATTCCGTGGTAGGTAGCAGCGTGTGGTCTTTGGTGTGATTGTCGTACTACATTTACCATAAGCAAGGGCCCCGTTACGAATAAATGATATGGTACATGCCGGTGTAAGATACTCAGCAGGCGCATTAGGATAAAGAGTTTTCACATCGCTCAAGGCTTGTTCGCTCCTGTCAGTGAAGATGAGAAAAATCTTTATTCCCAAGAGTCACAGAACCATACCGTAATCCTTCAGTAACCGTATTGTTGTAAGATAGTTCTATTGCATAGTTAAGCGCCCCATAGTTGATGGCGATAGCGTCGTTGAACCGCTTTTCTATGTCAAGGACAGCATGAAGGGAAAGCGCTATCGTCGATGACCCTTCTAAAAGCTAGACCAGGTCAGCCGAACTACCTAGTCACACCGTAATCAAACATTCACCTCAACGACCTGGAAATTCGCATCGTCAGGCGTCAGGGTCGTCGCCTCCTCCCCATTCACGGATATCACGCTTTTTTCCGCAGCCCAATCTGGTATACGGATCTTGAAAATCAGTGGTTCGCTCGTCGCTATTTGGTACTTGAGCGTGTTGCTGAACGGATAAATGGTATCAACAACGACTGCAGGATGGTGAGAGAGTTGAGGTAAGCGGCCATTAAAAAAGGAATGACATACCATCAACTTGGTTGGACGCTCCAACGATTCCGGAATACGTATACGGCCCCAGAAAAACGTGCAACAATCCGTCATCCGCTGGATCGGTCATGAACGCATGAGCCCAGAATTTCGGGTATCCTTGCGGATGATTGACGGTACAACATGGGTAATTCCTACGTGTTGTGGAAGTCCTTCATTTTGTGACATGAATAAAAAATGGAACTTACGGCTCGAACCCGAAGATGTTTGACCTAGGACCATTATTACCCCATGGCGATGGGTCCATTTCCCGAGCCCAAATTTGATTGACTGCAAAAGAATACTAAATAAGATAAAAAAGGAACAAATTTGCGAAGGGTTGTGACCTTCTTGGTCATACTGGTGTGCTGACGGATAACAGACGGAAAATGATAAGCACCGAGAAATTCTATAGACTGGGAGAGCTTACACCACCAATCATGCATTATTCCGGCAGGTAATGCATTGTAGGCTGGCCGATTCAGGTTAGTCTACGGCTGCCAAAAAGCCCTAGATCATGCCTACCTATTCTCTCCGCGCGGTCGGCCACGGAATTGTTGCCAAATATTTGGTAGATTGTCGCAAGCGAGAAGATTTGTTCCCTTAGAAAAGTCTCAGCTCGAACAAGCAAGTGACTGTGCAGCGCCTCACACTACGGCGCACAGTTCAGTTCTTCCAGGATGTCAGTGACAACTAAGAATCCCTCGTACACAAGTTACGGCATCGACCTACCCATGAGAAGGACCCAGACCAGCGAGATGTTCGTCGGCTGAAAAGGTACCTGTACATAAAAGAATCGGACCCGGCTTGAAAATAGATTTTACGGTGGGGACGAATACTCAGACGAACCGGAGGCACGCCCGTGGTACTGGTAGATCATGTCGAGCCGGTCAAAAGTGCTCTGAACGTCTGTCGGATCACCCGTAAAACGGTACGCCAGCGCCTCAGACTTGAGCGCTACCACAGAATTTCGTAAGTGCGAGCCAGACAGCCGGTGTTGCGATTTGGCAATTCCTACCTTCTGCGTTGTTCACGCCATGCCTGCAGGGTGAGTTTTTTTTTGATGAGTTCTCCGTGAGACTGGGCTGTTACGCCCAATTAAAAGGACTTGGTTTGCTTACGTGTACGAGAAGAAGGATGTCACTGCTTCCCTTGCGAAACTGGCCTCTGTATACCAGTCGTCTTTCCAGGAAAATCCGGAGTCTCTGAGGAGTTGCATCGTCTCGATCAAGATGTCTTCCTGGCCTGAATCGCAAATCAATATGAACAACGTGGCAGGATGAACTCGTTAATATGATTGGGGGAACTCAGACCGTTTGGATAATTATCATATAACCATTGTAAGGAGTAGACCAACTAGGAAAAAGAAAACTTTAGTTTTAATATAGTAAGGAGCAAGAAGGCCACTTACTTCTTCCCATCTCACATATTGATACTCGAACTGGAAACCATCTTCAGGATCGCCTTCCGAGCCGGAGGCCCAGGTACTATGAACAAGTGTGATAAAACTGTGCATGGCGCCTACGATCCGTTCGGTTTGGGAAGGGTCCGCTTCGGCATATTGCTATCCCAACATCAAGAACTGTGCTTGAATGACTGCGAATGGTACTCACAACAAGTCCCATTAATACAAGATAACGGGGCCATGTCAGACGGGGAACATCCGATGACCCGTCGAGGACCTCGGGACCAATCCAGCCATCATCGCCTTGATGGTCTAGAGTCCAATCCAAGAATGCACGGACTTGACCCAAGAGGCGCTTATCTTCAAGTTGAAAAGCCAGCGCCACCATGCCGTTGCTTTCGTTTCAAAATTGTCAATTGAGAGGGATATAGTGGCGCCATTGAAATAGAATAGAGAAATGGCCAGACTTACAACCAATACGGGGCTGATTCGTGCATCGCACTGTACTCGATGGAGCCTCCCTCTACCCAAATTGACCCGTTGACGCTAGAATTAATCCATCAGATGGCGCACTGACAGGAAGGGATCCTGCTGCAGGCTCACTAGCTGTCGAAGTCCATCAGATGTCCGGCGAGGCCCTCTGCCTGGACATTACCTTGATCCAATGCCCATCCGGCAGGTTTGATCGCCCCCGTTGGAATTCTGTTGTACACCGGTGCGATGACTTGCAGAGAGTCTGACTAAGAAAATCACGTAACATCTCTATTGACACTTACGCGTTCCGAGAGTCGAAAGGACTCCAAAACAGATTGTTGACAGTAAAGGAAGCAGGATTGTCTTTACCCTTATGAGCAGTCTTAATACGAAGTTGATGGAGTATGCGTACCATCGTACAACTGTTCAAAAGTGTTCTTTCGCGTATCACTTGATGCTGCTTTTGTATCTGGTTCCAAGGAGTCCATACGCGGTCCGCCAGTAAGACCACAATACTTCCCGACACCTGAAGAAAGTCAGATGATGAAGTCACGATGCCTCTCCCTAGCAATTCAGAATGCTAGCAATTGAGAACAGCCTTTGTGCAAGACGGCCCGCCTGAAAGAAGGAACATCAAATGAGAAGTTTACAACGCCACCCCCGAAAAACACTTGTCCCCTGTTATGACTAACAGTGCGACGACCCGACGTCGGTTAGCGAGCAGTCACGAAAAGAATTTCCTTCAACGGCGTCCTTTCACGGAGGTAAGAGGTTTGACAGGCGGAGAAAATTAGAAAATTAAAAAATCGCACGACAGCACAAAGGGCAGAGAGCTACGAATGGGTTTTCGGTTAAAACACGGAAGCCAAGCAACCAGCTTCATACCTGTTCCGGACCCGGTCCGTATTCGGGACGGAGAGCCGTGTTGTGTTTTCCGGATGCGAGAAATGAATCGAGTCGTTGCGTTGGTTCAGTTGAGCGAGGGGATTGTGCGCATTAAAGATCCCATCTCATGAGATCCAACGGGACCTGATTGAATCTGATTTTCGATCAATGATATGCGAACCGGCAGCTGCGTAGCTTTTTATTAGCGTTTCGTTCGACGCCTGTAAATCCGAAAGAACATAGGTCTTCGATCATGGCAGCACCCTGGATGTATGCCCTAGACGGCGGAGGTTGCGAGGAATCCAACACGTGGAATATAGTATATGTAGTCACCTATGTACATCTTGACGGAGCACAATGTGTTTGGGGGGCGGGCAAGTCCGAATGAATGACACTTCCGTAGTCCGTTCTCGTGCGCCAATCATGACGGCAACACTGGGATTCTTCTTTCCTGAAGGACGGAATTTGCCAATAGGGTCAGAGGATGTTGGTTACCGGTTGCTGCCTCGGTAGGCGCGTTGGAAACCACCGCACACGGCCTGTCGTCGCCGACTGCTGCGACCATATGACCCTCGATTTGTAGGGTAAATATTTGGCATTTTCTTTCTCCAACGAAAAAGACGAGGCTCTTGGATTTTAAATTTTTCTGACAGGATTGGCATTTCCTGTTCACAAATGTCAGACACAGAGCCAGGCACAGTATGTATGCAGAGAATTCTCGCCTTGAGGCTGGAGCTGATGCAGGTGCTTCGAATCTTGTAATCGGTGCCGCGGGAGCATGAAGAGAGCAAACCTAAACAAGGCAAGATTAATAAGGTGCAGTGAAACGGTCACGATGAAGGTTGCAGAACCGAAACTTGGAGTTATTCTTGTTGTTGGTTTATTGTTGTTTCCATTGCAAGGTCATAGCGATGGGAAGCATTGTTTGTCACACATTTCCTACGAAAGAAAGACCCAACTTGCAGTGCTACGAAGAAATTCAAAGTGCAAGCAAGAGATAGCAAAACGGGAAGTTGACGGTAGACCGTCGACGTTTGGCGTGAAGTGACGGCCCCACGTGAAGGGCGTGCTGACAAACAGATGCAGACAACGTTGCTCCCTTCCCTCCGACGCCCACGACGGGGCGCAGCGGTCTTTTTTTCTTCTCTTCATGCCTTTTTGTTAGGCCTTGGGGCTTCAACGTTTCGCTCTTTTTGTTACCAATCGGTTCTCAGCTGCCGGAAAAGTTCTAAATGTCCCCCCGACCTGTCAACTGTACTCGAAAACGTCCGCTTTCTGCTGTATACTTGGGGAAAGATCCTCTGTACATATATTCTCCCCCAAACCTGCCTGATTTACCGGAACCACCAAGTCCAGTTGCGAGCACGAGCTCAAAAGGTTCTGGTCTCCCTTCTCCACCGGCAACGAATTCCACTGGTAGTGGAAGTACAGGCGATCCTGCCAGCGTCGCTAGAAGAAATAGGCCCCATCCCGGTGAAATGCTCACTGAGTCGAATGTAAAGACATTCCATCACGCTTTTGAAGAAGAGCAGGATGGGTTCGCCAGTCGTTCGGTCGATCCAGACGATGATGACGATTATGACAATGACAATGACAACAACGACGACGAGGATAATACGGCGCGTCTTAACGGAAGACATTCTTCCATATCCTCCAGCGAGAATGTGCAGGCGCTTGAACGCGTCAAGAGCCTCACACAGAGGAATCGGATGGTATGTCTTTCGGATGACCCGGTCTTTTTTCCTTCTCTGATTTTATCTCTTTTGTAGGCCCTCGATAAACTTTCTTCTTACTCTCGGCTAAGTACGCCTTCACCCAAGCCACGTCACCCGACTACGCCCAAACGTCATGCTCTACCATTTGCCTCATCATCGTCCCAATCTTCCTCCTCCTCCTCCTCGAGAACACGCTCGTCACGTCATTCCCATCAAATTACCCCAGATCACCAGTCAGGCTCTGAAACAGAGCGGGAGAATCTCCACCCTCCCATATTCTCGACAAACCCCCACTCTTCCTCCTCAAATTCGTCCTCCCAAGCAGGCTCTTCCGATCCTCGCCCGTCTACGCCACGTAGCCGACAGCGCCTCATATCCGCCCCCTCATTACCCGGACAAGTCCTTGCAGCCAAGTCCAATTCCTCGCACTCATCAAATTCCTCTATTCATATCCGGAAGCGCGCTTCCATTGCTCTTACAGAAACATCATCTCCTTACCGTTCAAAATCTCCAGACCGTGACGTGATGCAAAGCGCGCTGGCAGCGGTTGCGTCGTCCAGGCGGAGTCCCACAGTGGGTCTGGGGAAAAAGAGGCAGCCTCTTCCACCGGAATTTCGTGATTCACCGAGTGGCGGTGACCCAATATCTCACCGGAACGGCGTTAACAATACACTTACCCGAAGCTCTACCCTACAATTCTCATCTCTCCCAAAACCTCCTGCTAGATCCTCAACAGTGCGAGATCTGACTCGACGACACCAGACACGTTGGATGAGTGAAGACCTATTGGCGACGTCTCCTACCGACGATAACGATGAACCCACTATAGGGCGGCGGCAAACACGACGGGGTGGGAGTGCGGAGAGTGGTTTGACAGTGAGTGCTCGGGGTAGAAGCCTAGTGGGTGAAGGGTTGCGGGCAGCTGGTATAGGTCTGAAGGATGGAGAGGAGAGGCGGGGCAGCGATGTTAGGACTCGTGCTAGCACTGTTGGACAGAGAGCAGCAACGTCGATGGCAGAATACGGCCGAGATTACGAGGACGACAACGACGCTTCTCCATCAGTTTCGCGTCAGTTGAGGAGTCATCGAAGTGCATATCCCTTACGGGACAGAGATTCTTCAGCATCTCGGAGGGAGGTGGAGAGGTCCCAGTCGTCACTCAGCGTGTACAGTGGACAGGACCGGCACTCGAGTCCACGAGTTTCAGGGATACAGCAGTCTGGACATCATACAGAGCTTATGCACGATAGCCTGTCGATGTTCGAATCACAAGTCAATCGGGTGCAGTTGATTGCGACCAGTGATTTGCTAAGGAACGCGCAGGGTATAGTAACAGCCGCTGAAAGACTGCAAGGGCTAATGAAAGGTGGGAATGGGCGCGCACTGGAGCAGCAGATTAATGCGGAGGTTGGCGATCGTGACATGGATGCGGACTTGGTGGAGATATGGAGTAAAGTTGGTGGGGAGTATAGAGAGGGCATGAGAGCAAGTGACGAGCTTGTTAGAGCGGTGACAAGCTTCCTGCTGGGTGTCGGCAAAGCTGTTAAAGATCTAAGTGGTGCTGGAGATACTCATAATCGGAGCATCAGTTTAGACGAAGAAGGTCTGACGGGACGTTTATCGAGGCTTCATCTTACGCCAGAAACCCCTGTGAACGGTAACGGCAGACGTAGCGCTGAATCCCGGCGTAGCTGGGACATTCGAGATAGAGAGCGAGAAGAGGCCACGCGACGGCTGAACGCAAGAGCAGAAAGTGTTCTCGCTGTTCGATCCCCGTCAGCTCTCAACACGTTGAGGAACGAGGATTATGCTCGATCTGTTTTTGATACCCCATCTCCTCATCGAAATGCTACTACCAATGGGGCAAGTTCTGGTTCCATACGACGAGTGCAACCACGGGAGCCTTCAATACGTGTCGACGTCAACGGTGTCGCTACATTGGATTCTCAAGACACTGCCGATGCTTTTGATCCATCGCCTACACCTGCTTCTCGTATCAATCGTATACCGGATCGAAGTCAGACTCTCCCTCCCCTTGACATTCCAAAGCCACTGCCGACATTACCTTCCGAATCTCTTCGAGCTCGACTTCCTGTTACTCCTACACCTCCTTCAGAAAAACGACCTCAAGATCGTAACGGGGACCAGCAAAATCAAACCCTTTCTCGCCGCAAGAACCTCAACACCATCTTTTCTGTTCGAAGCCCAAATACGACAACGGCTCTCACCACACATACGGTATCCAATTCTCCTGATCGAGGGGGTTTTCCAGGCGTGAGCCCGTCACAGCGGACCGATTCGAACAAGTCGAATCGAACGTCAGTGACGTTCTCCCGTCCATCGACTGTTTCGATTTCAACGCTCAATGGACTCCAGCAGCAGGATGAGAGACAGCGGAAGTCGTCCTCTTCAGGTTCTGTGGACGCGGATGAGGCAGAGATTGTTGCTGGTGTCAACTCGCCAATGTCAGGTTCTGAGACGGAGAGAGACTGGAGGCGGATGGTCAATCGATCGACGAGGATGTCGCTTGATGGGACACATGCGGGGCACGCTGCCGATCGGAGTGCTGCTTCTTCCATTCTCCCTGCTTCGAAGAGAGAGAGGAGGAGAACGGTTGTGGATATCTGGCCTCCCGCTGGGAGGTGATTCGGCTTCGGCTCTATTGCATTTCTTGTACATACCATGCGTGAGTCATCCCTTCCCCGGTATTCATATCCTTGGTCACATTCTCACAGATTACTTTCTTTTACTGTTTTTATTGCGCGGACGCTGATGCTCTGAACTGCGGTACCTCTACGCGCGTCTTCCTTCTCCAAGTGTTCGTCCCTTGATCAATCCTTTCATTTATTTGGGCTTTAAGAATTGCATGCAAGCTTTCGTTATTTCGACCTCCGTCTCTGTCTCGTTATCTGATCTGTCGTGTAGTATTCTATTCGTTTTTCGTTCCTGCCTGTTTTCTATATCTCGATGTCCTGACGTTGTACGTATTTTATGGGCTCTATGATATGTGGTTGTGAGTTAGACTCACTGCGAAGTACTTGAAGTAGAATACCTAATAAATGCCAATTGTATGCATCCATGAGGAGCGTAGCGGTGAATAGGGGTGTGACTCTTCATGCACCTTCATGTGCATCCACAGCGCTTTATCCCAACTGAAAACATAATGTACAGATCATGTAAAATTGAAAGATACTATTTGTAAGCCAAATGATAGCAAGTATGACAGCACATTGGACTATGACCTTAAATGAAAAGGACCACATATAAATTGTCCCTCTTTATATCCTTCCTGCTCAAGCCACTGGTACCACTGCTCAAGGTAGGCCTGCACTGAGTCCATCTCAGAACCACTGGAAGAGGTCATAAAGATGTTTTTTTGTGTTATTCCAGTGATCTTCATGGCTTAAATTTTCCTATATAATCCATACATTTCACTTCTGTAATTTCCCACCTGAGTCTAGCAGATGATGTTACAGACCACCAGCAGCACTGATAGTTGGCTATGCTGTATCATTCATAGTAGTCACTGATGACCACTGCTGTTGCCATCAGCTGTTCCAATATCAAAGATGATTCTTTGAATTCCAACTTGACAATCAAATGTCATGATTTTAGCCTTTAATCATAACCTCCTGATGCTTAGTAACCTGACACTTATGAAAGCCTGATGATCCCTGATGAATAAGTGCTCTCAGACATGCAGAAACCCTGCTGAAGCCACATGGAATCATGGATGTATGCATGATACCCAATGCTCATTACTTACATTGTATGTTGCCTATTGCAGATCATTTGTTTTTCCTACTTCTATACTTCAACCTGACAGTATATATATCTAGTAGTTACATCTGTATCCTCAGTTATTTTACTATTACTGCATTAACTGAGGTATGCTTTACTCACTCATTTCCTTAGTTCTAACTATGTTGTTCATCTTACCTTAGGTATGGTATCATATCAATACAGTCATTTCACTATTACTGCACTGAATGAGTTCTAACTACATTGTTCATCTTTGGGTTATGTGGCTCTGCTCTTATCTTTGAACCAGTCAAGAAGAACACAGTAAATTGTACCCATAAAACAACTCAATATTCATATGAAATACCATAACCTCTAACCATGTCAACAATAAGCCCTTCCATTATCCAACTCTCTGAAGCTTTCCAGTTTAATGGCAAGAACCTTGCCACCTGGAAATCCAAGATTGCTGAAATCATCAGTGGCAAAAGATGATGAGGGTACATGGATGGATCAATATCTTATCCAACCACCATGCAAATGACCCAGAGCACAGCACCAATCAGAGCACTGCTTCCACCAGATTCCACACCACTCTACTTATTCACACTATTGCTTGATGAATGGAAATTTCAAGACTCCTGCATATGGTTCCACATCATTCTCAATGTTGTGGATCCTACAGAATTAGGAATCAAGACATCAGAAATGGTGAAACAAGCATGGGACTCAATTATAGACATCTACACTATCCAGAACAAGATGGCTTTATCTGAGATGCAATGTCTCCTTTAGAAACACAAAGCACATAGAGAGAGCTAATATGGAGGCCTACATCCAGAACCTCCATATGAAGCAAGCTGCAGTCAGCAATCTGTCTGAAGCTGGATATGAGTTAACAGACAAAGATTTCAGGGAAATTATCATATGGCCTCTTTTCCACTCTGCAAGCTGGCTGCCAATCATACCATCCTTCTACCAGTGTAAGATGATCATCAAAATTACTTCACTACTCCAAACCCACCATATCACATTATATCCCACAAAGATAGACCTGTCTCTTGCTTTGAATGCAAAAAATCATCAGCTGGGAAATACTGTACCAACTCTAAGTGTAAGGCTCATAAATGCTCAACCCACAATATCTCAGATTGCTACTGGTCTGATAGAGGAAAGGAAGGGCAGTTTTCAGAGAATTTTAGAAGGAACAAACAAAGCAACCAGGCAAATAACATATTGTTTAGCATGCCAGCAAATGCATAGGCTGCTGCAGCTCTTCAGGCTAGCCTGATGGTATTTCACAGCCCCCATATCATATTCATAGCATACATGACATCTGGTGATAAAGATAGTATCACAGGGGTTATCATTGAGAAAGTACTAGATGAGACATCCTATCTTGAGAATATTGATGCTGAATGAATCCTTGGATTTTGAGGATATGACTACTTCATCTATGTCTGATTTTAATATCTTGAACCTTAAGAAAGTCAACAAAGCTAAACTAGTCATTAGTCATTTTGAGGTGAAGAAGTATATATATGATGCACCTATTGCAGATAGAGCATTTGTCTCTATGATATTCCAGAGATGAAAATCCACAAAGTCATTGTGCTTTCTTGATTCTGATGCAAGCAATCACTTGCTGTGGGATTTGAAGGGATTCACTGAGTATACACCCCAACTGTATCATACTGGTTTTTTGGCAAAGAAAGTGGAAGGTGGATTCTCAATTCTGAATGCTGAGACTCTTATCAAACTTTTTTGCCAGATATCTAAGGAGAAGAAATTAGTCAGACTGATCTTCAAGAATGTCTTATATGCACCTTCGCTCACTGCAAACCTCATCTCTGTCAGTGCATTTGATGCTGCTGGGTTCTTTACAACATTTGGAGGCAAGCAGGCAGTTGTCAAGAATGCAAATGGTGCTGAAATCTTTACTGAAAAGAGAGAGAATAGAATGTATATCCTCAAGTGTGTAGATGATGAGAGGGATTTATCTGCTGATCACTTTGTTATGTCCTTGAGAAGTGATCCTACATCTTTGTGCCAATGGCATCATTGATTTATATATGCAAGCATTAAAACTATCAAGTCTATAGCATCAAAGAACTTAGTTGACAGGCTCACTAGAAGAGTTATAGACAGGAACATCAAGGAGAAGTGTAAAGATTGTCTTATAGCCAAGCAAACATATTAGCCTCTCAATGAGCCAACAGACCCTGATGTGGAGCCTCTCCACCTTATGGAAACAGACTTGTGAGGTTCTAGCTATATAGTATCAAATAGAAGAAAGTCTTACTTCATGCTGGTTGTGGATAGCAGCATATCTTTCAAACATGAAGTGTTTCTCATGAATAAAGCTGATGAGATGACAATCTAGGCTTTTGATGAATTCTTGATGCTGGCCAAGAACCAGACTAGTCAATAAGTCAAACACCTTTATGCTGATGATATCTTTACAGAGTTAAAGTGGTTGACTACTATAAAAAGCATAGGATTATCCTTAAGCTAATAGCACTGTACTCATCTTTGGAGAATGGATTAGTGGAAAGAGTGATCTATACAATTATCTAGAATACTTGTGCACTCTTGTGAGATTTGAGCCTGCATCATAAATATTAGGTTGAGGTGGCAGCTATTTTAATGTACACAAGAAATCTGATCTCATCATGTCACTATCCTAATACAGTTTCTTTAGAGTTATAGACCAGGAAATGACAAGATGTATCTCACCTGCAAGCTTTTAGCAGTATCTGTTGGGCAAAAATTCTGATAGTAAATAGGCAGCAGATATCTGGTGAAAGCAAATTAGATGATTAGTCAACTGAGGCTTGCTTGTTGGAATATGCATCTTGGGGCTATTACAAATTGCTCAATAAGTCAGGCAAAATCTTCATCTCACATGATATCATACAGTCAACTCTCTCATAACTTAAAGTGGTTAGTGGATCCTCAGAGCTGTGAGTTACAAGAGAGTATGAGATTGGAGAGAGGATGTTGTAGATTAACTTTGAGGCTCTCATAAGAGCTTATATTTTGAAGATGCCATATGTATACTAACAATGATGTATGTCTTATATGATCAGGTATTATGGTACTTGGCCAGGCCTTTCCATTTTCAGGGTTTCAAACTTGCATTTTTCTGGTTTTTCTGTGATACTATATGAGACTATAAGACTTTCATCAATTAATCCATCAGGATAATGGTCTTAAGGGAGGGTGATATTATGATTTTCTCTATATCTCATTCTTTTTTCTTATCTTATCAAGGCACTTATTTTATCTCAAGCACTCTCCTGAAGGGCATGGAAAGGATTAGACAATCACAACAGATGGAGTGCCATTGTACTCAGTCATCTCACCTACAGACAATTCCTCATTGTCTTATCCCTGACAATTAGGCAGAATCAGCATCCTAGCATAATAGGTATTAGTTATATTTATTACAAGTTGAACAGTATATAAGTAGGATAGCTGTCACTGTAGTAGTCCAGCTTCAAGCTATAAGTTTATCTCACACTATCTCCTCTTGAGCTTAGCTTGTCTCCAGCCTTGAAGCACTTCACCTATCAGAGCACATTTAATGAACTCTAGCATGATTGTATGAATACAATACAGCACTAGTTTATTATGTGTTCAGATCATATGCCAGTTAGATCTAATATAATCTTCTTCATGATAGAGAAAGGCCTGGTGCATTTATTGGTCAGTTTCTTCTTTGAACATGAAAAGTGAAGATTTGTGGTATTCAGCAATATGTGGTCACCAACATTGTATTAGATGGCAGAGTGGTGGGACTTGTCATACTGATATTTCATAGCAGCAGCCACTTTTTTGAGAGTTTGATCTACAAAAGATGTTGAGGTAGGAGTTGTAACAGTGCAGTGGATTGAGCTAGTGATATAGAGGATGTCATCTGTAGTTGATGAAAAATAGTGTTTTGCTGATTGCAGAGTGGACATGGTTATTGTATTAGAATGTGTTAGGCCCAAGCATCACATGAATAAGACCACATGATAAACAGCTGTCTCTTTGCACTTTGAGGGATCGGCTGAGTCCATGGAGTTGGTCTTCTTTCTGTGTGACTCAATGTCTTGTAGACTCAAGATAGATTGGTAGTTATAAACTTTAGCTCGAAGCTGGGGTATACCAGTGAGAGCTGTGGGTCTTAAATACTATACAGGCTATGCTAATAATATCCCTACTAATTGTGTTCATCTATGTCTATGGTGCCTATTGTCCTTAGGCATTGTTACCATACATAAAAAGGTGCTTATGTGTCATCAAGCATTGTTGTCTAAGCTGACTTGATGGGTGGGTTAGTTGTGATGACTA